AAAATGTCACCCAGGGTTTTCGATAATTTGCGTAGGTGTACAAGTGCTACACATTGTTCATATACAGGTGTAGGTAAACAATATAAATGCGAAGATGCCCATAAGTCTGTTGCAGAGTTCAGAGATGAAACCAGAAAACCGCCGCCCATTTCTGTTGTTCAAAAGGGATACACGGATCCTGCAACCAGACAGGAGGTGAGGGACATCCTGGATCAGGGCCAAGGCAGATCGACAATCCGATGATGATCAGCGCCTGGTGATGCGGTACACCTGTCTTGTGGGATAATTCAACTTGGTCATGCCCAAAGACCTTCAGTGGCATCCTGTATGAAGTTGGCTGACTTTGATAAGGCACGATCTGTTGCCGGCAGGTACCAGATTTCTTTCATGGACCACAAGACGTCCACGAGCTTCCTGGTCAGCATAACCTTGTGCAAAGAGGAGTACAACATGTTCAGGGATTACCGCCAGTATATACGTGGTGACATGCCTGAAGATGTCCAGCCGGAAAAGTCACCTTTCTTCAGAAAAGTGGCGGGACGGTACCGAAGAGGAAAACATGTCCCTCGAGTTGGCCCGCTTGCAGAGGATAAGAGGTTTCCTTAAAATCAACGAGGGAAACAAACGTAGGACATATACAGCCACGGATGTTCGAAAAGCTTTGGAGACTGAAGTGGCAAGGGCATCCCAATGATGCTGCAATGTAAGATGGCCAGTGACTATCTTGCACATGGCCAAAACAGTAAGTAAATACTATGCTAAAAAACACCCCTTACAGGCTGCTAGTGAGGTGTGCATTTGTAGAGGGTGCCATCAAACAAGCGGCTAGTACATCAAACGTTGAGGAACCTGTCTCGGCGTCAATTCCAACAGATTCCTCCACTCTTTAAGTCCCCAGCCCCAACCCCCAAACCCTGAAGGTAGGGGTTGGGGCTGGAGTGAGTGCTAGTTAATACGAATAGCTCTTAAATGATTCTTTGGGGTGGTTCCGACGAGCTATTAATCACCATTGTGCAACGTATTTCACATGTAGACGTACGTGTATTTCGTAATATATATCATTCATTTATACGATTATTTATATATATATATATAATATGTTTGAAAGGTCTCTCTTTTTCAGCTATAATTTCTATGTCCATGGTTCGACTTAAATATCTTTATGCATATGAAAGCCCTTTCAAATCTGTTTCTAACGACGTATAACACCTACATGTAGTGTCGCTTGTTTTTTCCGCGTCACCCCACTATCGTAGCAGCGGGGTAATAAGTCCTATATCCGTTGTGCGATCCTTAATATCTATAATGCATATGAAAGCCCTTTCAAATTTGTTTCTAACAACGTATAACACGTACATGTGCGACATTTTGCCAAGCTGCAAACGTCTGTAACATAATGCCGCATCTGGTGCGTCGCTGACACTGTCAGCCCATAATAGCGCACGTTTTGTTCGGTAATTATTTCTATATCAGTTGTTGGATTCTTTGACATCTATAATGTATCTGAAAGGCCTTCCAGTGCACTTCTAACAACGTATAACATGCAAATTTGCGACCTTGTGCAAGGTACTGGACATGTCGAATATAATGCCGCATGTGATGTCCGTGTCACCTGCGCTTATCGGCGGAAGATGAGTTCGGTTCTAATTTCATTATACATGGTTGGAATTTTAATATCTATCATGCATCTAAAAAGGCCTTTTTCAGTGCGCTTCTAACGGCGTATAACATGCACATTTGTGACGTTGTGCAAAGCTACTAGACATGTCCGAATATAATGCCGCCTGTGATGTCCGTGTCACCTGCGCTATCGGCAGAAGATGAGTTCGGTTCTAATTTCAGTATGCATATTTGGAAGAGCTTCGTTTGGTGCTATCAGAAATCGCAAAATATCACAGAATGAAACAAGAGATTCTGACCAAGTCTCGTAAAACGCCGTCATTTGCGAAGACAAGAAATCTTTTTTTTCATAGAACAAGGGAAGCAACAGGCCCAACAAGCCTTCATTATGAATACCAAACAAATCATGGGAGATTCACAATAAGAAACTGTTTCGCGGACATCAACATAACGTAGCCAGCCATCTCAGTGAGCTGTAGGTAAATAGCCGAGCCGAGACACACACACTGAGACTCGCCCTCAGCGCTCAATCAATGCTACCGAGACGGCAGCGAGTCGACCCGGGGGAACTGCCGAGAGATGCGGTATGATTTAGTGGAAATCAACATAACGTTGCCAGCCAGCCAGCCAGTCGGCTGTACAAGCCGAGCCGAGCCGAGCCACACACTGCAACTCGCCCACAGCGCTCGCTCGGTGATACCGAGACGACGACCCGGGGGGAAAACTGCCGAGAGATGCGTTTCATTCACTTTCAGACATCCTGTAGCCTCGCTAGTCAGCCGGCCGTGCATCATCATAGCCAAGCCGAGACAATGACACGCACATACACACTTATACTCGTCCACGGCGCTCGCTCAAAGCAACCCACGAGACGGTAGCGAGGTGATGACTGCCGAGACCTGCGTTTCATTCAGCTAAAACACTTCTCGCCTCGATAATATATAACAAGTACGACGCACAATAGGTTAGATTTGTTAGCCTTTCGCCAGACCGACCCCATGCTCACTAAAAAGTGATTTATTTCCTAAACTATTAGATCGAGTTTCGTGAAACTTTGCATGCATCTCGGCAGATGGTTACGCTATAGCAAAACGGCATTGGGAACACTGTCGATGACTTCATTAGATTAAATAAGACTTAATTACGACAAAAAGTTGGACATTTTGCCTCTTCCCGACCGACCCCATGCTCACTTAAAAGTCAATAGTTCCAGAAACTATTTGACCGATTTTCATCAAATTTTGCATGCACCTCAGTAGTAGTATACACAATGGGGCTGCGGGATTGAAAGGACTCCTCAAGGCTCAATTGTTAAATTTTTAAATTTGAGCCCTGGGTGGGAGGTGGGGCTATGCATGATAAAATCGTAGGGGTTGGCATCTCTGAGCACGGATAACAAGAAGGGAGGAGTTATCATTACAATTTTCCTGAAAACGGAGGAGTCGTCTCTGTAGAGTACACTTCGTGACCTTTCACTGTTACGCTTTTTAGTATCACTCAACAGTCATCAAATCAGAGTGCGGCGTAAAACTCAACTCACTCACTCACTCATCAAATCAAGGTCTAGCTTAAAGAACTAAAAACAAACAATATACAAATCACCAACAATTAAATCATTGCATACACTATAACACACTTAAACTGAGTGATAAAAAACATATGTAGGCACTTGCAACACATGGAACTATGCAGGCTTAATTAGATCAGATACCCTAGATAATAGTTCTCCACGTCCTACTGACGGAAGAACGAAGGTAATCTTAACTTATAACTTAAGGATTGTTTATTTGTTGTTTAATGCTGCACTCAGCAATATTCCAGCTTTATGGCGGTGGTCTGTAAATAATATAGTCTGGACCAAACAATCCAGTGATTCAGATCACAAGTATCTATCAACACAATTGGGATACAACGGCATGTGTCAAACATTAGATGCCTCTTACGACAAAGCATGACCAATTCTCATCTGAATTTTGAATAATGAATAGACAAGCAATCTCAAGGACATTCCCTGTAGTCATCTTGGGATGTCTGGGTTCCTTCCTTTAACTAGGCACCTCAACAACAGCATAATAATACAATAGTACATCATCACCATACTCCCTCATCAACCACTGTAACACTATCACCAGAATATGTGGTATATAAGACAAAACAAAGTACACTTTCATCATGATGGATGCCCTGTACCACAAAGCATCCTTGCACTAAAGTGACCCATCACTTTGTGGATGGGACTCTGCTTCTTCAGAAAGTTCCCTAGTGGTGCTTTCACCAAGCTCATGTCTCTTGTAGAGAACGTAGTAGAGTTGATTATAGATTATTGAAGTATCTCTCTGAATATCCGACACTTGACACAACTGAAACAATAAGGAATATGTGAATTGTTCCGATATCCCACTATGCACTCACTAACTTAGATGCACATCATGCTGGAAGTTCCATAAGATTTTCTGCGAGATGCTCAACAAAACTGACCAGTCAGTATTCCACTAAAACTCATAAAATACAAAACTCATAAAATCAGCTACAGTCAAATGTGTGGATTCTTTCCAGTGAACAGATTCTTCAACCCTACATCTTCGTGAAACAAGCTTGTCCTCTCGCATACCTCAGTAAATCAAAGTCTAGATTCCACACTTGCCATTTTAATCCAATATGAGTGCACCATCACACATACTGATAGTTCAATAAGTTGAAAATTTTACTATAAATTGTATATTTATATACTTATCCTGTACCCACCCAACCTGCCCCACATCACAGATTACTAGAAGCTCCAAGACGAGAATGACAGGCACAGACCGTAACGTGATCATCTGAGCTCACGCTTATTGAGATGATTGACGGGTACTGCTATCGGAGTGGGGGCAGAGGTCGGGGGGGGGGTCAGAGGCCAGATAACTTTTATTCAATTTAGCCTACAGCACGTTTCCCACACATGGTCGTAGAAGAAAAAGAGGTACATACCGTGAGATAGGATAAGTTTAAAGTAGAAATGTTTTATAAAATCAACAATGTTCCTGAGAAACGTGGCTGCTAATATCACCCAAGCAATGCCTGTTGAAGTTTCCAATCAATTTGACCAAATAATTCTATATATTTGACAGCCAAGTTTCTAAACTTTTTCCAGTGAAAACACACAATCTAACTACAGGGCTTAACATGACATGGGCAGGAAGTTGGCTTGCACACTGGACTTGTCTTCCAAATGTCTTGTGGTATTTGGGCATGTGTTACAATGAATTTGTTGATACTATTTTGGCATCCCACAGAAATGTCGAGACGTAAATCTTTGGTTAAAAGATGTTAAACAAATAAGACCCTAAAGATTAAGTGTCAGACAATTGACAACTGTTGAATTCATATTAATGAAACTTCTAGAAGTTCAGCAGCTCTGGAATGCTGTAGTAAGAGGTCGATGGAGCTTGGGTTGGCGAGGGCACCATGTTGGGGGGACGTCCAGACCGGAGATGGCACGTTTTACGGCTATCCTCAACCTTCTTACCAGAGATGGTGTACTGAAGTGACACAGAGAAACGTGAACACCACATTGTAAAAGTATGCATATAGGTTAGAAGAAAGGGGGTGAGTATGGTTTTACGATGCTGTTAGCAATATTCCAGCAATATCGCCAGTGGGGGACACCAGAAATGGGCGTCAGACAATGTGAGGAATCAAACCTTGGCCTTCAGCGTGACAAACGAACGCTTTAACCACTAGGCTACCCAATTGCCCTAGAAGAGAAGAAAGTTATGTTCTGTTTCTAAAAATAGTTTAGAAAAATCACTGTCACCTTGGACATTAAAAATCTTGGACAACAAGTACCCATATATACATATATATAAACCGTCACTTTGGAAAGCTCAACCCCTGCCCTTGCAATCGTTAAAAAAATTAAACGGCTATTGAAACGCATAGCATGCCAAGGCTCACGTCTGCACAACGTCATGAGGCCATTGGGATGGTCCGTGGGGGAATGTCTCAACGACAAGTGGCTGCACATTTCCACTGCCACCGGAACACCATTTCTGCACTGGTGAGACGCTACCAGAACACAAATGACGTCATCGATCGCTGGCCACATTCTAGACGTGCACGTAACAAACGCCAAGACAGGACATATGGATAAGGCGTGACCCATCTTCGCCACAGTTTTCAGACTGCAGTGATGACTGCCCGAACCACCCCAACACAGTTCGACAACTGTTGTACGGCCTATCCTGTTACAACGTCATCCGACAAGCTCGCCTAATGTGGTGCCGAAATCATGTCCGCAGACACTTGTTTTGGTGGAGAAATGTTGTTTTTACAGATGAGTCCAGGTTTAACATTTCCCATAGTGATGGACGTCAACGTGCCTATAGACGCGTGGGAGAACGTTATGCACAGGCCTGTGTCTTGGAGAGGAATCGCTTTTGATGGTGGTTCCGTGATGATTTGGGGTGGAATAACAGCACGCCAAAGAACTCCTTTGGTGATTGTTCAGGGCAACTTTAACTGGTGTGGGCTATAGGGATCAGATTCTTTGACCTGTGGCAATTCCTTTTCTGCAACGTCATGGCCCTGGGTTAACATTCCAACAGGACAATGCCCACCCTCATACGGCAAGAGGGTTGCTTTGCTATGGATTTCTTGCAACACCACAACGTTGACTTACTGCTTTGCCCTGCAAATTCACCCGATCGCTCCCTCGATAGAGCATGTTTGGGACGGAATGGATCGACGTCTACACCGTTTTCCTCATCCGCCAAATACCGTCCTTGACCTTGCAACAGAACTTGAGAGAATCTGGCGTGCCTTGCACGTTTGATAGGCTCTATGCGTCGTCGATGTACTGCTGTTCTCAATGCCGATGGTGGACATACGTTATTGAGCTTGTGACATGGTCGTTTGACCCCTGTCCCGCTTGTGGACTCGTGACGTCATTGTGATTGACTTTTCAATTGAAATTCTCCCTGACTTATTATGGTCTCATGATCCCTCCATTAAAGTTTATATGTACCTTTGACATTGTTATCCTACTTATCAACTGGGATAATAATTTGACAATGCACAGTTTCTTTATGTGGCTATATATATATATGGTGAGCAAACTGGGTCCGCATCTTTTGTTTGAGGTTGGGTGGTGAGTAAGAGAGCACTGGATTCGGAGGCTTACTCCAGCTATATTATGAAGAAATGCTGTCATGGCCATACAAACAATCGAGTTTTATTATTATGGTATTCTCTCTCATGACAAGCAAAGATTACTGGAAAACCCTTCGGCCCTGGAATACCAAAGGATATATACAAGAAACTCTGGGAAATCATTCTGTCATGAGGTGTATGAGTCAAAATAAATACAAATGGTTCTCAGGAATGTCTTTAAACAATCTTCACTCACAGGAATATCATCAATCGGCAGAATAATAGAAGGCACGCATGTCTGGCAGACAGATACATCCTGATGGAGGAGTTGATGTTGCCAATAACCTCCTTGCTGAACTCGCTCCCCGGCGCCATCTTGAGGAAGAGGACAACTCTCTCTTCCATCCTGTCTGCGCTACGCTGGGCGACACACACTGTCCTGAATCTCCTTGAAGGCTTCCACTGGAAGAAGAAAACATCATTATTTAGACTTTAGACTTTAGGCCCTAGCTAAACTCTTCTGTCTCTTGTTACTTCAGTCAAACTTGAATGAAATCTAGACCTTTAATTAATTAAATTACAAATGAATTTCTTTAAATTCAGAATGCTTTATAAAATGGTGGGCACATAGTTTCAAATTTGCATGGGCCCTTATGTAATAGATTTAAGGTGGAGACTTATTGTGACAATAAGGTGTAGTTGATCAAACTTTGCAACTTGCACATTATATTCCACAGCTAGTTACTTATTGTCTTTTTTTCATGTAATGAGTCTGAAAGCTCCCCTCTAGGCATGGCACTATCATATGATGTAAGAATATTTATCAGAAATCATCATTTGGCAAAACATCAGCCACCTCTAAACACATCCTGACAGTCAACTGAAGTTTCTTCCAGAAACCAAAGGCATATGTACTGTTTTCAAACACTGGACATGACACTACATAATCAGACATTGTGACCACCTGCTACCCACAAGCTCCAACAAACAAACTTGACTGGTCGATGCAGTCAGCAATACTCCAGTTAATGAATAACACTGCCTGCAAATAATCAATCTCTTTGCAAATGAAAACCCCATGGTGCAACCTCAAGTACTGAACAGAAACAGAAGAATTTCAAAGGTGACAAGGCTTACCTATGTTGTATATTTCTGCACTGCCGAATCTTACACCGTTTGGATTCAGGGTGCCGTCACTGCAATATACACAATTCAACAGTCACCAAACTGTAAAATATCCAACTCAAATTACTGCAAACATAAAACATATATACCGTAAGCCATTAAAACGTAATTTGACATTCATACTTTCTTTACTCACACTAATTTCAACATATATAAACCTAACTGGCAGATATGTTTTAAGTGAACATCTGTGAATAATTTCATCTGAAAATGTCCAGTCAACAACAACATCAGTGACGCAACAACGACATCAAACAAAGGAGGGGTCACTTGCAGTCAATATCGTGTGTGTCCACCGTGCGCTACAAGACATGTTCGCAGTCTTTGGGGCATTGAAAGCTGTTGGATGGTCTGCAGCCTCTGATGGTCTGTGGTCTGATCATGACACCACCCCTCAAAACGATCATGTTCAAGGACACAGTTTGGCGCAAGTCTTTTCTCCTTTACGTCGATAAATCTGTTGACGTCCATCTGCAAAGGATAAGTTAAACCTGATTCATCTGAAAAATGACATCTGGCCATGTCCTGTTGCCAAGACTGGCCCCATTTGCTGCCCATCGCTGTCTGGCAAGTCTGTGGCGATGCAATAAGGTTGGACCACGGTACGGGTGACGACACCGGATGTTGAAGGCAGCAAGGCGTCCTTTGCACCCTTTGGGCGCTGAAATGACGTTGACTTGTCCCAGTTGTCCTCCTTGCCTAATCATCAGCTGTTTGGAACCGATTTCGCAAGTGTGATACTCGGATATTGCGTTTTTGTTGAACTGTTATCACAGGTGGTGCACCAGGTCGCGGACGATCAGCAACACTTCCGGTAGCCCGAAAACGTTGTCTGAGTCTACTTACAGTGGATGGATGCACATTAAAGTGCCTGGCAATCATCACATCTGAAGCACCTTGGCTGACCATACCGATAACCTGATTCCTTTCGTCTTGTGTCAAGTGTGGCATTGTCTCAAAGTGATTGAGTTCCACAATTCCTAGTGCTTTTACAGGGCCTGGGTGCAGGTAATGCATGTGAACAACGTGTTTCATGAATGTGGTTGTGTTTACGAGAAATGTCAAAGGTTCAGTTTTAAGTATCAAAGTTCATGTGAGAGGAATGCTCCGGGACTCGAACTCGAAATGGGCCAGAATAACAGCCTTTTATCCCTACATCCCTCTGTATCGCAGGAAAAAATCTTCAATAGAACTTTTTGTAAGTTTCAGGACAACAAATACCAATTGCGTTTTAATGGCTTACAGTATATATAGGATTAGACATAGACTCAGTATTTCTTAGAGTGAGTGAGTTTAGTTTTATGCCGCTTTTAGCAATATTCCAGCAATATCATGGTGGGGACACCAGAAATGGGTTGCACACAGTGTACCCATGTGGGAATCAAACCTGAATCTTTAAGCAAATTTTGATAAGTAAGTAAATATCTTATTGAACTTGAATAATAACTGTCAATTGCTGCATACTTGTTGCCAGGAATTGACCTTTGAGCATGTCAAGATGAATGTCTGGAACATTATTACATCAAAGTGAAACTCTGTAGAGTGAAATGTGGTCCTTGGACAACTAAACATGGATCATGATCATATTAGCGGGGTATTCAAACCATGGTCAGAAGATCCTCATAAAGTCAAGGGACCCAACTCTGGACAGCAAATCACTGTGGGTAATGAGGAAACGGCTTTGATTCAGAACACACAAAACACAACGTTACAGGGTACGCATGATTATGTTTACATGTGCCACAATCACTCACAAATATGTTTAGATGTGGCTGTTTGAATTAAGTGTGCCTAACAAGAAGAATACTTCATTCAACTAATGTTTTTCTTTGTTTCTAAATGCTGAACTGTGTTATATTCTAGCTATGTGAAGGCTGACTGTAAACAATATTGCCCGAACCATCATGACCAACTCACAGCATTACACAGCATCAGTCACCAATCCACATCAACAGGAACTGCTGCGGACCAATTCTAACACACAATCCCCTCGGCGTCTTATCCCACGACCATGGTTGGAATATTTACCAAGGGGACACAACTCTACATAAGCTATTGCAACACTTGATAGCTGGACAACCCATGGCCCCTCCCCCACCGACTAGAAGACCTCACCTGTGATGGAGCCCAGGAGCAAGTCACTTTTGATGTCCCTGTATACATAATCATAGGACTGGGGCTTGAGCGGGGAGCCTGTCGACAGGATCATCTTCAATGTCGTCAGCTTGTGCGTCTCACCTGGTTAGAAAAAGACAATTGACAATCAACTAAGGCATGATTATTTACATATGGCTTTACTCAGGTTTTAGCTATCATGGCACTGAACACCAGAAATGGGCATGACACATTGTACCGAGATAGGGAATTGAACCCGGCCCTTTGCCGTGATGAGTGAGCACTTTATCCAGTAGGCTATTTCATCTCCATTGTTAGGGAAAATGAAGTAAGTGTGTGAATAAATTTCATTGTACATTCATATTAGCCACAAACAAACTAATAGAAAATATGAGATCAACCATTGTTCTGTTGATAATGTACTCTCAGCTCGCTGAGGAGTATACAAACAAACATGATGCCAGTATCAGATACTTGTTTCTCTCCAAAAGCATACCCATATGACGCGTTGAAACTTTAAGACTAGTCCTCTTATAAGTAGTCATGTATGCAAAAGACAAAAAACATTTCGGTCAGTTTTATTCAGCTCCAATTTGTAGCAAAACTGAAGCACTGAGAACAGAGTTTAGAATCATAGTCCTCAAATACTTCTTGTCTATGTAGACCATAGTTGGAAATTTACCTGTCTTCAACACAATATAGCAGTCTTGGGGTGGTGGACAAGCATGAATTGTGGAGGCTGATTACCATAGTGACATCATGCCATGGTGTACAAAAAAGGTAATTACTACCTGAAACGGCCAGCGCACTGACTATAGCCCCACCGACCATCAAAGCAACCGTTGCCATTATTAAATACTAGGCACATAAAGAAACTGTGCATACAAAAATTTAAAATCTAAATTTATCAAACCTGTGTAGAGACATAAGGATTTAAACTCAGAGATTAGTGACATGTATCCAACATGCTTGCACGTGCCACGTTCCGTGACATCAGTGGGTTCGTCCTTGAGACGTGCAATACATTGTTGCACATGCACTCTGGGAAAGAGAAACAGAGCAAATGAATGCCACACAATACTGTCACTTTGGAAAGCTCAAAATGGCTATTGAAACGCATTGCATGCCAAGGCTCACGTCTGCACAACGTCATGAGGCCATTGGGATGGTCTGTGGGGGAATATCTCAACGACAAGTGGCTGCACATTTCCACTGCCACCGGAACACCATTTCTGCACTGGTGAGACGCTACCAGAACACAAATGACGTCATCGACCGGCCACGTTCTGGACGTCCACGTGTAACAACGCCAAGACAGGACAGATGGATAAGGGTGACCCATCTTCGCCACAGGTTTCAGACTGCAGTGATGACTGCCTGAACCATCCCAGGACTTCGCCGTATCCACCCCAACACCGTTCGACAACGTTTACGTCATCACGGGATCAGACCACGACGTCCCGCCATATGGTCTATCCTGACACAATGTCATCGACAAGCTCGCCAAATGTAGTGACGAAATCATGTCCGCAGACCCTTGTTTTGGTGGAGAAATGTTGTTTTTACAGATGAGTCCAGGTTTAACATTTCCTATAGTGATGGACCTCAACATGCCTATAGACGCGCAGGAGAACGTTATGCACAGGCCTGTGTCTTGGAGAGGAATCGCTTTGGTGGTGGTTCCGTGATGATTTGGGGTGGAATAACAGCACGCCAAAGAACTCCTTTGGTGATTGTTCAGGGCAACTTAACTGGTGTGGACTACTGGGATCAGATTCTACCTGTGGCAATTCCTTTTCTGCAACGTCATGGCCCTGGGTTAACCTTCCAACAGGACAATACCCGCCCTCATATGGCAAGGGTTGCTATGGATTTCTTGCAACACCATAACGTTGACTTACTGCCTTTGCCTGCAAATTCACCGGATCTCTCCCTGATAGAGCATGTTTGGGACGAGATGGATCAACGTCTACGCTGTCTTCCTCATCCTCCAGATAACGTCCTTGACCTTGCAACAGAACTTGAGAGAATCTGGCGTGACATCCCACAAGTCTTCCTTGCACGTTTGATAGGCTCTATGCGTCGTCGATGCACTGCTGTTCTCAATGCCGATGGTGGACATACCTGTTATTGAGCTTGTGACATGGTCGTTTGACCCCTGTCCCGCTTGTGGACTCGTGATTGACTTTTCAATTGAAATTCTCCTTACTTGTTATGGTCTCATGATCCCCCCATTAAAGTTTATATGTACCTTTGACATTGTTATCGTACTTATCAACTGGGATAATATTTTGACAATGCACAGTTTCTTTATGTGGCCATTATATATCATATAACAGCCCTTTACTTCAATAAGTTTTCCGGAATAACCCCTTGCTTGATGAGCATATCCTTGGTGGCCATTGCTAGTTCCAAATCAAAGACCAGCATGCCCACGTCGTACGCATTGAAATTGAGTTTAGGAGTTGGTCGTTTGACGGCCATTTTGCTTAATCGTGCGTAGCCGATAAGCATCGTTGACGAACGACCTAGTTTTCTGGTATGCAATGTAAACCCTGATCCCAGAAGACATGAATTACCAATCTGAGCGAAAGCACCTACCCAAAATACAAACCAAATACTCTTAATATTTCACAAGGGTGCTTGATTTTTCACATTTTAACTTAACATAAGCATCATGTTTTTCAGGGAGATCTCCTTTCAATGGTGAAATTGTTACCTGGTTTGACATCCTTCTCCTCCAGCACAGACAACCACTTAGCTCCAGTTCCCAGGACAGTGATACCTATCTGATCCACCAGGTCCCACAGGACGTTGGGGTGGGGCACCAGTGGTGAGCCGTCATACAGAACAATGGCTGCCCCGACGGCCAGGACAGAGACCAACCAGTTCCACATCATCCAGCCAGCCTGCAGACAATCACAGTATTAGTACATCTTCAGTACTGAGGCAGTGACCATTAGTGCTGGAGTGATTGATCGAATAATTGGTCAATTGATTGATCTCGCTTGCATCAGTGATTATCGATGGACTAATCGATATGCATCAGATTTGAAACAACAAATTTAACTTTCGTATGTTTCTTATTGTTATGTTTGTTAAATCAAGACAGGAAACGGCATCACTTGTTATGACTCGTAAAACTGCAATGTAAACATCATACTTGAGCGCGAGTCAACAGGAAGTATGCTCATGATTGTAGTATTATGTTAGGATTGTGTGCATTATTGCCCACATGAGTTTTGTGGTAGAGGTTTATGATTACAATTGGCTATTTATCAATTATTGATCAATTACTCTGCTCCGATTATCGATCGGCAACTTGTGAGAAATAACCAGCCCTTGTGTCCATGAAAGAGAATCACAATATCACAGACACAGCTGGTTAGTGCAGTTCTACAGCAGTGTCCGCATGAGATGGCCACAGAGTAAACAGCGATAATACTGAATGTGTATAATTGAGATACAGTCACATACTCAGTGCAGTCATACTGGGGTCTTCCCAAACTACTGAGCCCTACACAGGCATGTGACAAATACTGTTATCCAGCATCATGTAAGAATGTCGAGTTTTGATTGGTTCACGTGACTCTGATAAAACACCATGTACACCCGTCAAGATTCACGAGCAGGGAGTACAAAAGTCATATTATCCCGCCACGCCTCAGTGACCACACGAAGTGAGAAAAGTGTGCATTGCCAAGCCTTCAGTAACATGAGCTGCATTGAGGTCAATCGATCAGCTGTTGTCAATGTGGCATCTCACATAAATAAAAACAAGTCGATTTGATGCGTATTGTTTTCTTTTGATTTAGTAAAAACATTCAGCTAGATAAATGTGTTTCGGGGAATACAACCTTACTCAGGACTGATAAAATCCTGTATTTACCTCGACACGATGTGATAACTTATAAAGTCATTCCACAATGAAAGAATGTTGTTTTAAGCAGCAATCGACATGCCTGAAATTCAATCCTCTCCATTATAGCACTCTTCATGGGGTACTTACTGTTGTGTAGTAGAGCATGATGTCATCTCGTGTCATGTCACTCTGAATACAGCACTCTTCATGGGGAACTTACTGTTGTGTAGTAGAGCATGATGTCATCACGTGTCATGTCACTCTGAATACAGCACTCTTCATGGGGAACTTACTGTTGTGTAGTAGAGCATGATGTCATCTCGTGTCATGTCACTCTGAATACAGCACTCTTCATGGGGAACTTACTGTTGTGTAGTAGAGCATGATGTCATCACGTGTCATGTCACTCTGAATACAGCACTCTTCATGGGGAACTTACTGTTGTGTAGTAGAGCATGATGTCATCTCGTGTCATGTCACTCTGAATACAGCACTCTTCATGGGGTACTTACTGTTGTGTAGTAGAGCATGATGTCATCTCGTGTCATGTCACTCTGAATACAGCACTCTTCATGGGGTACTTACTGTTGTGTAGTAGAGCATGATGTCATCGATGTCATGTCACTCTGAATACAGCACTCTTCATGGGGTACTTACTGTTGTGTAGTAGAGCATGATGTCATCTCGATGTCATGTCACTCTGAATACAGCACTCTTCATGGGGGGTACTTACTGTGTGTAGTAGAGCATGATGTCATCTCGTGTCATGTCACTCTGAATACAACTCTTCATGGGGTACTTACTGTTGTGTAGTAGAGCATGATGTCATCTCGTGTCATGTCTCTCTGAATACAACTCTTCATGGGGTACTTACTGTTGTGTAGTAGAGCATGATGTCATCTGCGTGTCATGTCTCTCTGAATACAGCACTCTTCATGGGTACTTACTGTTGTGTAGTAAGAGCATGATGTCATCTGCGTGTCATGTCACTCTGAATACAGCACTCTTCATGGGGTACTTACTGTTGTGTAGTAGAGCATGATGTCATCACGTGTCATCTCGAATGTCACTGTTGTGTGGTAGAGCATGATGTCATCTCGCGGTCATGTCACTCTGAATACAGTGCTCTTCATGGGGTACTTACTGTTGTGTAGTAGAGCATGATGTCATCTCGTGTCATGTCACTCTGAATACAGCACTCTTCATGGGGTACTTACTGTTGTGTAGTAGAGCATGATGTCATCTAAATGTCATGTCACTCTGAATACAGCACTCTTCATGGGGTACTTACTGTTTGTGTAGTAGAGCATGATGTCATCTCGTGTCATGTCACTCTGAATACAGTGCTCTTCATGGGGAACTTACTGTTGTGTAGTAGAGCATGATGTCATCTCGTGTCATGTCACTCTGAATACAGCACTCTTCATGGGGTACTTACTGTTGTGTAGTAGAGCATGATGTCATCTCGTGTCATGTCTCTCTGAATACAGTGCTCTTCATGGGGTACTTACTGTTGTGTAGTAGAGCATGATGTCATCTCGTGTCATGTCACTCTGAATACAGCACTCTTCATGGGGTACTTACTGTTGTGTAGTAGAGCATGATGTCATCTCGTGTCATGTCACTCTGAATACAGTGCTCTTCATGGGGTACTTACTGTTGTGTAGTAGAGCATGATGTCATCAGATCTCGTCATGTCACTCTGAATACAGCACTCTTCATGGGGTACTTACTGTTGTGTAGTAGAGCATGATGTCATCTCGTGTCATGTCTCTCTGAATACAGCACTCTTCATGGGGTACTTACTGTTGTGTAGTAGAGCATGATGTCATCTCGTGTCATGTCACTCTGAATACAGTGCTCTTCTAAATGTTTTAACAGGGTGCCCTGCGCAAAAAAGAAAAATCCAAACTTGTATATTATCATATGAAATTATAGTACATGACAAATAACTGCAAGCATATAATCAAATCTTAGTTATCAATAATTTTCAGAGATCTTATCAGATATTCTTTTTATCTCAATATATGTACCTACAATGGATTACATTCCTGCTTAAACTCAAGGTTATTCACTGACGTTGACATTTTGATTTTACCGACATCAAATGCAAACTGTTTTTGCTGAACGATCCTAACATGTCAATACTCCCATATGTCTTCTTGACAGAGCTGTGGGAACCACCATTGAAACAAATATGAATTCACAGCCAATCTCCATGGTATGCTGAACGTGTTCCCTTTCTTGGATTTCATTTTGCAAGGCACTGTGTCAGGCCTACCAAAGAAAACTTTCCCACTGAGCAGTTACACGCAGAAAAACCCACACAAATCGTGCAAATAGCAACGTGAACATAATACCTCGCTACTGAAACAGTAAAAATGGCAACTTTACATCGATGATACGGGATATAATAACCGAGGAGCTGCAACTTTTTGAGCATGTACACATGGAAGAGGAAGTCCCCACCGCATGTTGACATCTTCCAGCTTGGACACAAGTTACATTCCCTTTTCAGAGTATTTCTGTTGTGTTATTTGGCGTTTATCATCATCATACTTGTGTGCACACTTGTTAAGTTTACTATGCATTCGTATGAAATGATTGACAGAAATTATTTCGACATATTCAATACATTTTCTAAGCAAGGCGATTCAAGGTTGCTAGGAAATTTGAAAGAAGTGCAGATCGTAATGCACATGCATGGCAGAGGACAAAGTTCGTTGTTGCAAAAATGTTGCAGTTTCATAATCTTTCGTTGCTGTTTATACTGTTTCAGTTGCGAGGTAATATGTTTATGTTGCTATTTACACGATTAATGTGAGCTTTTCTGCGTTTTTCTGCACAGAGGATAAGTTCTTTGGTAGGCCTGTGTGGGGCACCGGTCAGCTAACAAAGCAATTCTTTGTAATTATGTTTCCACCAATTACAAAAATAGGCCAAGCAGACTACCATGAACTGATTGATAATGAAAGATAATGGGGTTTGTGTCACATTATTGCATGGAACAATGTCACCGATTTCCTACTGTTGTCTACATATAATTGTGTGTTATTATTTCATAAGCTGTCTGTGAAGTTATTATTGTTTTCACATTTATTTATAAGAATAACTTTACAAACTAGATTTTACATATATACCTCTATTAACATGAAAAATATTAAAGGCAATTTTTAGTTCAAGGCATACATAGCTAACTTCCATTTGCAGACATTGATCTTTTGTCCATATTTGGAGGAAGCTGACTGTAGTTACCTCCCTTTGATGAATAGCATCACTCAATACTGATTGTACCAGCATTAATAAGCCACGTGTTACAGTAAACTGACATGAGTTTCTGCAAGATCAGGATACTGTTATGGTCCATTATTTCATCTGGCAATTAATTAACTACCAGTGTTTTGGGGCATTTGACTGCTCAATCGTGCAAATGTTTCTGCATTTATGTTTTCATGTACAAACAGGATACTAGGTCACATTCAAAAGCTGAATATTGTTTTCTGAATGACTGATAACAGAATGAGTACGACTACAACTTCTGACATGTTTTTAGTAAGAATAGAACTATTTGACATTTCAGGAATAAAGAAGTCTAAACTGGTTTGCATACTGTAAATACTCCTAAACCCCCATAAATGCAAAAGAGTGCAGAAGGTTACGGGTTTGATCCCCGACCGCGTCACACGTCACATGGTACTTGCTCGGCATTAATGGGTCCAACAAGGACTGGTCGGCTCGGAGTCAGTATAATGTGTCTGAGTGGGGTATTCATGCTTCACCCCAGCATGGTATATCTCAGTGGGCTAGCACTATATATAAACCAGCTTCAGTCTGGGCTAGTACAAGCAGCCGCACATACACATACACACACATGCATGTCGTCATATGAGCGAAATATTCTCAAGCACAACGTTAAACCCAATTCCACCACCACCACCATAGATGCAAAAACATAATACAATCAAATCTCTTGAAGAATACATGTCAACAGTAATAGGTTTACAGACAGCTCATTTAGTCACTAACATCCAAGCAACCACAGAGAACAATATAAATTCATTTACAGGGAAATTCAACACGTCTCATTCATTTACCACTTTGCTAATCTGGAATCTGGAATCTGACTTAACAGCTGGCAGACCATGTCACAAGTAAGGGACATAACTCCGGCTCCTGGTCAGAGACTCTCAAGCCTCAAGACTTCCCTAAGCCAAATGACATGTTGCTTACCCCAGCTGAGTGGACCATACACTTGGGTGCCCCAGTGGTCCCAGAAGAGTACATGATAAACAGGGGGTGGTTGAAGGGCACCTGCTCGAACTCCAGCTGGGGAATAGCACCATCCTCCTTCCCATCATTCAAGAAATCTTCCAACAGGCACCTGTTGAACAGTCAATGTTTATAAATAAGTACAGATGTACTGGTAAAATAGATTATTGAAAGAAATACACATGGATTTATCAATCAAAATGTTTCTGATAGGGCTGGGACGGATACTCGGGTACTCGAATCCGGGTCGGGTACAGCTGGAATCGAGTCCTATTTCAAGGAATCGAGTACCCGGAAAGGGAGAGAACTCAGTAATGACAAGGGCTCGTATCTCTAACCTAGAGCAATATGGACGACACGCATGCTAAGTTGAGTGTTTGGGCTCATTTTGAGCTTGATGCAAATGGCAAGAGAACGAGATGTTGACTCTGTGGTATCATGTCTGAAATTGATAGTACAGTCTGCTTATGGTTTTGAGATTTATTAGTGTTAGACCCTGCTGGTGAATTCTACTGAAGTGGTGAAGGTGTGGGACTACTCCTAAGCTGACACGCCAAGATCAGGATATACTTAATCTCATAATTTAACACAGTTACAAATTTGGAGACCCATACGTTTTTTCTATCTAATATGTCAATCTACTGCGGAAGCTCTACAAGGTCAATGCAAAAACATCTTGCACTAAAACACAACCTAAACAACAAGAAGACAAAGTCATCAATATCATCCGCAATGGCAAAATACTCTTCATGATTATGTCTACGAGTTATGATTATGTCAAATATTTAGGTGTGTATATAGAAGAGTGGAAGGAGAGTATTGAAAGGTTTTTAAAGTTCTGCTCCAGAAAGGAGCATTATCACTAATTTCAGTCTATGTCAAACTTGTTGCCATGGAAACGCCAAGAATGTTTTATTCAGAATTCCAAAACTACCAAAAGGCACCAGTACTCCACCAGATCTATCTATGTGCCAAGTTTGGTGAAGAAATAGTGAACGGTTTTAGAGTTCTGCTCTGGAAAAGAAAAAAGTACACGGAAGGACGAACGGACGGACGGGGCGTTCGCGTGGGGATAATAAACGTGTTCATTACATTGTGTATTTGTGTTCATTGCTTATCAAGTTTTTAAGATTACATGAACATTGAATTTTGTCTTTAGTTTCTGTTTTATTTCAATTTCATGAAACACAGCTTTTACATTTGCGTTTAACATGAATACATTGACTATTAAAGAGATTGGAATTAAATGATTGTATGTGATGGGAATATCAATTAAAACTAAGGAATTAACATTCTGATTTGCAAATACAATGTTCGACTGGTTATCATTACAATAAGAAGAAAGATGATCAGAAATAGAAGCAGAACTCACGTAACATATACATTTTATAGCTTAACAAATAATAATCAGCATGCAGTTATTCCAATGAAGATAGATCGGTTTCAGAATATCGATTTAACAATAGTTTTGCTTTTCATTTAATAGGGAAACTGTAATCCAACTGAGTTGCGCAACAGAGCAAAATGACCAGTCTTCCCAGATGCGAGCCAAGCATTTTGCTATATTGCTTAACTCAGTTGCATTACAGTTTGCCTGTCTGTATATCTTGTACAGAATTCTCCAGTCAGTAAATACATCAATCAAATAATCAAATGTAAAACATTATAGGTTCATTTAGAATATCACACATGAACGTAGTTGTCTACTGGTTGAATGAATAACTGGTCTTTTTCACTATTAACGTAACACACATTTTTGGCATTGTCCAGTTAATGGACGTTATTATCAACGACGGTAATTTATCTGCGCATGAGCAGTGAGTAGTCAAGTTACAGTAACAGCGGGAATGAAAATTTCTGTGTTTTAACAAATGTTCTGTGTTTTAAGTAACAATGTAAGTAATGGTGTTACTCTTTATATTAGTTATAAACAGATGTAAATCAAATAGCCTAAGATCAGTTTCAATGTTTCATTGCCATCCTTTGAGGTTTTCTGTTATAATATCTGTCACCTCGTGATTGAATATTCAGAAAGTTGACTGAAAGTATGCATTCCTTACATTTCCGGGTACTCGATACCGATTCGGGTAAGTACATGCGGGTCCTCGATTCCAATTTTTCCTACCCGTCCCAGCCCTAGTTTCTGAACATCTGTATCATTTCTTGTCAGAAACTTCTTAACTTAAAGCAGCTGTATAAAGTAAAAGCAGCTGTATAAAGTAAAAGCAGCTGTATAAAGTAAAGTATAAAGTCATTTCTGAAACGGTCAGATTAACAAATGAATCTGAGATCCACAGGTATGACCTTTCCAGTTCCTTTTCATCATTTTATGGTCCAGCTGACAATATCAACATATTGTGAAATGAAAAATATTTAACAAACATAACAGCATTTGCCTACCCTATGTTCCTGAAATATTTGCCTCCCAAATACTAAGTGTTTGCACTTATACAGCAATGTAGTGCTGTGTTGTGTTGTTTAACATCACATTCATTGCTGGTTTTAAACTGCTAGACCACTGAAGTATCATTCCGCAGTTGAACATGGATAAACACCACCATACAGACTTCAAAAATGATTTGGCTGATAATCTATTTGAGGCTACAGCGCTAGATAAGATGAAATAGAGGGACCTCTATATAAACTGGATACTGTGAAACTTACTTACCCATTAGGAATGTGTGATAGGTCACATTGTGCTTCTGCCACAAAAGGAATGATGACAACTCTCTCCAGATCTGGTAAACCTGAAATTAAGACAGCACTTAACTTACTTTCTGAAAATCAAGTAAAGCATGTCAACAGCCTGGAATTCCTTGAAGAAAACATCACTGAGAAAGCCTTGTAGAATATCCCTTTTGTCATGAGTTGTTAAACACATAAACATAAATGTGACTGAATTTTAGTTGCTTATGAACTCTTTCAGTGTGAATATCATATCTGTCACAACACTGCCAGAGTTCATGCACTAGTGCTGCAGAAAATTACTGATTGCCCTAAAAAACTGTAATTTTTCAAGTAAAATTGATATTTTTATACTTATCCTGACTCATGATCTTTTGCTTATCTCCCTTTCCTATGCGATGGGTAGTGGAACACTTGAATCCTTTGAAGTTCCCGAAAGCGGACGTAAAAATACACTCACCTACGAGTTACCTCCCTTTTCCCGCGTAAAATGGATCTACTGTCAAATCGGAAGTGTTTCCAGCGGGGAGGTTGGGAGGGCTTGACCTCACGAGTCAGGATATGTATAAAAGTATCAATTTTACTTGAAAAATTACATTTTATTTCTTATCCTGACTCATGATCTTTTGCTTATAGAATCCTGCAGATTGGTGGTGGGTCAGGCCACTTCCTGGATTCATCAGCTGTCCTTAGATACGTCCTGTATCCCCCCATGGGAAACTGTGTAACGGCATTTCCGGGATCCTATTCTTCCAACTTCCGTTATAACTCGGGGGACCACTTTCTTGACTTACTTCAATCTCAGACAAGTTGAATCATGTTGATCTATGTGGCTTCAGATATACTAGTATCTTCTTATCACTAGATATCTATAACAACCAATAGATTATGATAAGATCTTTATCATAAATGAGTTGCGACCCCTTAATGTACAGGTAAGATCTTTACCTGTACAGGGTCTTTAATCACTCATGCTAGTTTGTCCTAGACTGTGCACATGGACTTTTAAACTAATACTTTTCCTTAGTAAAAGTTATCAACAAGTCAACATGATAAAGGGTGAGATTTTCCAACTCAGAGCCTTTGTGGAACCACTAGTTGCTGTGCTACAGCGAGAGGCCCAAATTGATGAATGCCTGAGACTTCTTCGGTGGCTATGTCTCGGAAGTGGTGGTTGGCAAACACCGTATCTGACTTCCAAAAGCAGCCCTTTCATAATTGCTGTTATAGAGCAATTTCCGTGCAGAGCCAATGTTGACGCCAGTGCTCTGACTTCGTGTGGGTTGGAAGCTCTTGGAGGTTCTAGTCCTTCTGCTTTGTAGGCTCTCAATATGACGGCTCTCATCCAGAACGATATGGTCGTTCTTGAGACTTCTGCTGATGTCTCTGTAGATAATGGGATGAACAGGCGCTTGAATTTTCGTATCCTTGTTTTAGTCTTTTGAAGATATATCTTCGGGGCTCTGACCGGACACAAGGATAGGTCCTGCATATCCTCTGGTCCGAGGATTGTGGATAGAGCTGGTACATGGAACTGTCTATCTGGCTGACCAGGTAGTTGGTTCTTGGCAATAAAATCCCATCTAAGTCCTACATGTACTGCAGTACGTTGCCCCATGTCAAATCTAGTTCGAGCAAAGTTCAGCGCATGTATCTCTGATATTCGAGCTGCCGTGGCTAGTGCAAGCATGAACAGAGTCTTCTGTGTCAGCAGCTCGAGGGTAGTCTGATCTAGAGGTTTGTAGGCATCACTCATGAGATGACGTAGAATTACGTTCAGATCCCAGGCCGGAGCTCTGAATTTCTTTTGCTGGTCCTCCAGTTTAAAAGATCTCAGCAGAGCAAGTAATTCTGGTACTTTCGTCAACTTGATGCCTGTCTTCATGGTGATCACTGTACTGAGGCAGCGAGGTACGTGGATAATGTCAAACCTTTCAGATGTCTAGTATGTCTAAGATGACATAGGTATTCCGCCACTTGAGGATGAGTAGCTTTCATAGCAATGAAGCCTTTCTGCCTTGCATAAGTCTCAAACTTCAGCCACTTGTCATCATACAGATTACGAGTGGATCTGCGTAACGCCAACGTTACTGCCTTGGCTGCTCTGGCGGAGTATCCTCTCTTCTTCAAACTTGTTTTGATACGGTCCACACGTGTAGCTGGAACAGTACTGGGTTCCCATGGACTTGCTTGGTGTGCGGATGTATGAATAGGTTCGGCCAATCTGGCAACTTGATTGTTGGACTTCCGAGATCCTCTACTAGGTCTAGGAACCATACTCTCGCTGGCCAATAGGGCGCGACCAGTCAGTTGTAGCACCTGTGTCTGTTTGATCTTCAACAGTACTTTCAGTAGTAATATCGGGGGTGGAAACGCGTAAGTGTTGAGTCACTGTAGAGTTGTCTGTGTGGACCATCAGCATTTTGTTGCTCAGCGAGCTCGACCTTAGTTGTAAGGTGTTGATCACAGCTTTCATCTCCAGCAGATTGATGTGAAGATGCTGCTCTATTTTGGACCACCTCCCTGATGCAACTTGATTGTTGAGATGCGCACCCAAGCCTTGTATCGAAGCATCTACGTAGAGATGTGTGTCGAAGTCCGGCTCTTGTAAATAGGTCCCTCCGCAAACGTTCGACCTGTGACTCCACCAAAGTAGGTACCTCTTGAGATTGTCTGGCAGCAAGATAGGGTCGACGCTGTTGAGATGCTTTGTCAGGAACCGTTGCAGCGGTCTTAGTTGTAACCTTCCTGTGCGAGTCAAGTCTTTGAGTTGACTGGCATTTTGGTGAACCTGAATGCTGTCGTCCAGGTAGAAGGCATTGCGTAGACCTCGATGATGTAGGTATGCGACTATAGGCTTGGTTACTCGTGTGAATAGCCAAGGGGCCGAAGATATTCCAAACGGTAGGACGTTCCATTGGAAGTACTGCCCTCTGAATAGGAATCGCAGATACTTTCTTGATTCCGGATGTATGGGGATGTGTAGATATGCATCCTGAAGGTCTATGCTGGCCATGTAATCTGCTGGACGGACGAGCAGTCTGAGTTGAGGTAGGTGGATCATTCTGAACCTGTCTGGTTTCAGTAGATAGTCTTTGTTGAATTTGCACATGTTGGTCTTTGTTGAATTTGCACATGTTGTTAATCAATCTGAACTTCTCTTTGGAGTTCTTCTTGGGTACTGGAAAAATTGGGGAGTAGAAGCCTGGCGTGAGATGATGCTGATCTATTATCTCTACCGCCTCCTTCATAAGTAGTGAGTTGATGGCTTCTTTTAACTTGTCTGCCTGCTCCTCTCCATAGTCGAAGACCATCGGGCTGAGGGTTAGCGGAGGTGTGGCCTTCTCGTAGTACTTGGGAGACGTAGTCGTCCTCTAGTATTCCCCAATTTTTCCAGTACCTTTGTAGACGTCCACCCTATGTTGATCGTTTTACAGGAACGGCTGGGGGTGGAAGACTCCAGTGCGGCCTCTCCCCGAGTTCCCTCTGTAATTTCTGGATGGGTGACGAAAGGAACCTTTCCCGCCTCTGAAGCTAGAGTACTTCTTCTCCTTAGCCTTCTGGATGCCGGAATATTTGGACTTGCTGTTGTACTTCTGGGAAGTATGACGAACGACGTTAGCCAGAGTATCTATAGACTTTATCATCATGACTTCTCTTGAATCGTGAGTAGCTTCCTTAGCTGCATCGTCTATCTCTCCTCCAAAGATAGTAGACGCCTCCCACAGAGCTCTACTCTAAGCAGCGGTTGGGTGAATCTGTTACTCCATGAACAAGATGCCAGTAGACCTTGTCTGCGCAAATATTGATGCCAAATGGTCCGATAAAAAGTATTGGTCCTTCTTCTGAGTGAGCAGAGCCTATAATAGCATTCTATCTTCTTCCGAACTTGGGTTCTGAAACTTATTAATCAATGCTTCATTGATAGCTCTGGACCTGGCCAAAATGAAGAAGGATCTCCTTGTAGCAGTATTAAGTTCGGATAACTTTTTATCTTCCACTTTGTATATCTTGTAACTTCAAGTTATCATCTTATTCCGGTGCCTTCATAAAGGGATCCATATGATGTAAAGGGGCATCTCTTCACATTAAAAGATGGCAGATGCTGATTTTGGAACTTGGTAGCTTTCTCGAAAGCTGTGTGTAGGTTGGAAGGTACCTTGGATATAGGTTCAATCGGTGGGATAGTTACCGAGTCAAAGTCGTCATTACGCATCTTATAAATGTAGACTTCATCTATATCCTTAGAAGGAGACTCCAAGTTCAAACCACTGGCTATCCAAGCTGTAACCTCTGAGTCCGGGAAGACGAAGTCTGCTTGTTCATCAGTTATCTCTCGATCGGTAAAGCTATGCCTCCGCGAATCATCCTTCTGCGAACATGTATCCCTTCACGAACCTCCATCATCCTTTTGCGAACCTCTATCTGTAGATTCCTCCCTCCGCGAACGTCTATCTGTAGATTCCTCCCTTTGCGAACGTCTATCTTGAGAGTCCTCTCTTCGCGAACCTCTATCTCTGGATACATCTCTTTGCGAACCTCTGTGACCTGAGCCTTCTCATCGCGAACCTCTGTGACCTGATGAGTGATGCGATCTAGAGCGGCTTGGTGTAGGAAATGGATCCTCAGATGTTCTCGAATGTTGAGGGTTTGCAGATGTTGAAGAGTGAGTAGGCTTCTCATGTCTTCTATCCTCCTCCAAGATGACTGAGTGGTCAGACTGTGAAGACCTTCGCAAAGGTGTACATTCCTCCAACATTTTCTTGAGACGTAGTTCCCTGAGGAGTAGGTTCGCGCAGGTCCGTGGGATTGCGTACGTTGTCAGCAGATGAGTGGTTCCGTCGAGCCTTCGCCTCTTCCTCTAACCTACGTTCCATCATGACCATCATCTGGTGGTGAATTGCCTCATAATTTCACCCGGATCAAGTTCTGCGTTGATTGAAGCTGCTGCGGTTCGCGAACGCTGATGAGTTGTGTGCGTCAACTTCACTCCGTTGTAAGTGGTAGTTCGTCAAACAGCTGACCTGCTGTGGCAGTTGCAGGAGAGGATCTAGGCGGTACTTCAGGTAAAAGTAACGAGGGATCATCAAAAACGTCTACTTCGTGAGGTATAATCTCTTTGTTGAAGGATTTCTGATGCGTTGACTTACTAGGCTGCGTAGATTTAACCTCCGATCTGGAAACAGATGCTCTCTTCTGCGACGTAGAAGAAGTCGACGTCTTTTTCTTACTTTGAGCCGGTGTCAACTGCGTTGTAGCCGATCTCTTTATATATAATGGTGTATATAGGACTCCAGTGCTCGCCCAACCATCCGCTTGGGCGAAAAGGGAAAGTGACAAGTAAGGCTGGTCACATGACTGTTTACGCAGGAAAAGGGAGGTAACTCGTGGGTGAGTGTATTTTTATGTCCGCTTCGGGAACTTTAAAGGATTCAAGTGTTCCACTACCATTCGCATAGGAAAGATATAAGCAAAAGATCGTGAGTCAGGAAAAGAAAAAATTATGCAACTGCACAAAACTCTCTAAATACACAGCTATATTAACTCCTGTCATTACTTGATGCCAAATGCACACCAAATATGGAATCTGACTGCATTAGAGAAGAGATCAATCTGTTTATATCTGACTAATTCTATTCTTTCATGGTTGGTGAAATGTGTTTTGTACAGTGTACTACTTATTTTGTTGCCTGTGGGAGTAAAACATGTACTGTTGAACATAGGACTAAGTTTCTGATATATAAGGGAGGCTACTCTGTATTGTGTGGACACGGCTAACTATGTGACAAAACAACATATCAAGCTTATATAATAACAGCATGTTGTCAAGGTCTACACAGAAGTGAAAGGCTTCATAGGATAGTCAATGCGATCTGTCACGATAAAATGACATATAATTTGGGCTTAAATTATTGCTCCTATGTAATAAAACTTGAAGAAAGATTTTCACCACAAGGGCATGAAGTATATATTCAGGAATATTTAATAACACGAGCTTGTTGTAAGCAGTGAAAACACAGGTTCACTGACTTTGTTGATTCATGTCATCATATTGTAACTGCTCATGATGTCAATCACAGGATTGTCTGGTCCAGAACATTTACACATCATTGCCATACATCCAAATCTTGTGGTGTTATACACACGCACACACAACAGTTACAGTCAAGTAAAGAATAACACTGTTGCTGATTTTGCATCTAAACAAAGGAAATAAAAACAAAAGGATACCTCGGACAACCTGCTGTAACTTTTCCAAATGGTTGTGCATTCTGCCATTGTAGTTGACAGCATTCACACTAAATATCAACTTGGGACGTATTTGACAAAACCTCTCCAACACACCCTGAAAAGGTATAAACAGACTGATCATCATTACAACCACTAGCATCAGGACATGTTATATCAACCAGTTTCAAAACATGAAGATAAAAGGAAATAGCTTTTTTGAAAGGACATCTTTTTTAACAGAGAGTAGCAGTCATGATTTCGCCCCATTTTGAGTATCAACCTGTGAACTTCTGGGTTAGAATTGGTCTTCAGTATGACATGTTTGTCGTAAGAGGCCACTATCATACATGATAGTTTTATTTAACAATTGTCCTTTTATCAAAAGTATACTTCATGTATCTACCAGCATTGATATACTGTGCATCTTATCACATTCATAATTTCACAAATTCCCTTAACACATACACAAGTCTAGCTTAGATATGTGACACAATGTCAAAATCAGCTCACCAGTTATATTACATTCTAGAGAATTTCTGTTGAAAGCTACAGTTAACAGCAATGGCAATGTTGACATCATTAACACATACGCATTGGCAGATTCCCTCCCTTTGAAAATAACTTAATACCACGTTGAAGCTTTTTTTTTGCGTTGGTGGAGCCAATGGGGGGTTCGAACCCCCTGAACCCCCCCTTTCATGTTAGTCGTTTAACGCTGCACTCAACAATGTTCAAGCTGTATGACGGAGGTCAGTAAATCCACAAACCTAAACCAAGTCAGCGAGCCTGAACACCCAATCCCGTGAGTTGCTTCTTACAACAAGCATGTGTTGCTGAAGATCAAGTTTAACCCAATCAAGACACAGTTCAATAATGTGACATCCCTTAGGGTCGGGTATCTACTTACCACTACACCAAAGTCAGGTGATGTTGAGCTCCATATTGCTCCAATACTTGCTGCTGCTAACATCGCCTCCACAGCCTCGATACAGTTGGGAATGTAACCTACGGCAAAGACATACTGCGTACATCAGGGTAAGCATGATCACAGGAATACCTACAACTTGCTTCACAGACAAACAAAGCTGGCGGGTGCGTCTTTTAGTCCAACAACAATCCCAGCATATCACATCAACACAGCATATCAACATACAGATGGGGCTTAGGGAGCAGCCTAGCGGTTGAAGAATTCGCTCCTGGTGGGTTTGATTTACCACATGGGTACAATGTGTGAAGCACATTTCTGGTGTCCCCTGGGGACTACAGACTTCTTTTTCAAACCAATTTCTCAATGCTAATGAAACCTAACAGAGATGCAAATTAACATGAAACATTTACCAATCCAGCAAAATAACACAAGATGCTGACCTAAAAAGCCAGAAATTGTAGCCTTCAACTAGAAAAAAACTGTCAGTCCCGCTGCCAACTTACCTGGGAGCCATTCTCCAAAGTGACTGAAAACAAGGACAGTCATAGGTCTGTGGTAAAGTACGGGAGTCACGATCACATGAGCACTTCAATCGATGTGTGCCTATACAAGTGGAATGTGCCCTGTCCCTGACTATGTGGTGGCGTGTGGTCCTGTGCACAGAGTGCAGGTCACGAATCAGTTGAGGTTAAGCAACGTCTAGCTCGGACAGTCCTTGGATGGGTGACCGTGTTTGACAGCTTGACTCCTGAGAGTTTCTAGGACTTCCGTCCTGCCCAACAACGAAGCACATGTGATACATGTGGTCTCACCTTAGGCATGTGAGTTTGTTCAAAATTGCCTCTGTTCACCCAGCAGAAAATGGGTACCCGGTTGGATAAAGTCATGTGACTATAACCTTCTAGCGCCTAACAGGCAGCTTGGGTTATCCGGGGTAATAATAATCAGGGTGTTAGCGCTTTGAGCATGCTTTGTTGCGTGGAGATTAGCGCATTATAAGACTTCTCATTACTATTATTATTATGTCTTACCTACAACTCGATCACCAGACTTCACGCCCATCTTCTTCATGGCTGATGCATACAGCCCTACAGATTTCCTCAGGTCCTTGTACGTCCTCTTTATCACCTCAGATCTTCCCTCACCTACAACAAAATATGAACTGCATAAAAATGTTTCTCTGGCACACAAATGAGAGAAGCAGGACATTTTATTAATTCAACATAGGAAAAAAAGGGAATCTGTGACAAGTGAAAATCTGCAAGGACTGGCATAACACCAACTCTGCATTTCAGTTTATGATTGTACACACCTAAAAATAATCACATCAAAACATCAATGTCAAGATAAGTATGCCTATCAATATTAACTTCCGGCATGCACATGTCAAATCAGGTGATCCAATCAGGGGACGTTATCACACAGTTTACATGACGCAGCAAATGAGAGTTAAGTACACATAAATGTACAGAAATAGATGCACCCACAATAATATGATGCATGCATGCAAATAGTGTTCATTATACCAATGTCTTCAAAAGAATATAAAGATCCTATAATTAAAGTCAGGGGGTGAAAAATACCATTGCCCGACGCCCAGGTCGGTCAAGTTAATATCCAAATTAAACTTAAACAGTGCCAAACTACTGAAATGTTTTGATATTAGTAAAATCTAAATATTTTTTATATTTGTATACTTATCCTGCACTTATTGCTTACGACTCGAAACGTGGCTGTGCCAGACGATTGATGTTGAAAGCGTAGACTGTGATCACTTCCTGGTCTCTGTAAACATCCGTCTGCGCACGCATCAACGGAAGGTGACGTCAGCCACCTCAGATTATTGCCGTAAATCCCACAGAGAAAACAAAGAGGGGAGGTAGCTGAAAGCGCAGGGTGGGCCCTTATCATAAGTAGTGCAGGATAAGTATACAAATATAAAAATATTTAGACTTTACTAAAATTTTAACTTATCCTGCACTACTTGCTTCCTGCACATTTATCGGACAGGCAGGATGGAGGGCGTGTCATCTGTGGGGATCGCCTAGCAAGGTAAACAAAGACAGCTCGGTCAATGTTATCAAGTGCGCCTCGGTGGTGGAAAACCGTCGTCGCACCTAGATCGGACAGCGAGTGACGATCAGGCAGTGGTAATACACATATAAGACACGGAGTCTTAAATGGAATATACCAGACGATTTTTAAAGCGTTATTAGCTTTAGGGAAATGTAGTAAAAAGCAGTGACTCGGGATAACCCAAGCGTTACTCCTTAACTGACACACCCAGTTGTTCTCCTGGAACAACTCTTTTCCATACGTCGTCGGCGTGCTTCTTGGGAAGAAAAAGCATGGTGGAAGCTATCCTTGTTGCACCTGGCAGAATAGTCAACAGACAGTGACTATCTCTCAGTGGTAATTCGCATATAAGACATGTAGGCTTAAATGGAAAAGACCACGCGATTTTTAAAGCGAGAGTAGCTTTAGGGAAATGCAGTAAAAAGCATTGACTTGAGTTTTTCGAAGTGTTGCTCCTTAACTGACACACCCAGTTGTTTCCCTCGGAACAACTCTTTTCCCACACGGCAACATCATGCCTCATGGGAAGAAATATCATGAATGAAGACACCTTCATGGAATCTGGAAGACACCAGGTCGATAGAGACCTCAGATCAGTGGTCATTCGCATATAAGCCATGTAGGCTTAAATGGAAAAGGCCACCCGATTTTTAAAGCGTTATTAGCTTTAGGGAATGCAGTAAGAAGCATGGCCCTGAGTCTATCCAAGTGTTACTCCTTAACTGACATACCCAGTTGTTTTGCTCAAAACAACTCATTCCCCACGACATCGTCGTGCTTCAGTGCGAACAACAATGTAGGATGTGATATCCTTCGGGGATTGTTGAAGTGCTGGTCTGGCACCAATGGCCCGTAGCGTTGGACACATATGGTGTGGCTACTGATTGGCGGAGACTGTGTCCGACTTCTAGAAACACTCTTGCATTATCAATGCCACTGTACAGTAACAGTGAAGCGCCATAGTAGAGGCGAGTGTGCGAAGTACTGGAGGTTGGCTTAGATGTAGGGGAAACCAGACCAGCCGCATTATACGCATGAATAAAGGAAGTCCGTATCCACAAAACACTCAGGGTTTTGCTTACATGCCTCTGACGGCTTGAGTTCGCTTAATGTACAAACTGAGTACACCAGCTGAACACAAGAGGAACACAGGAACGTCTTCACATCGACAACAGACAATAAGGGCGAAATAGAGAACCGTCTATCATTTCGCCCTAGCCGGCAACAGGTGTGTAGTGATGAAATCCCCATAAAATACCCAGAGGTACAGAACCATGACTGTGTCGTTCAAACTGTATCCAATTAACACCAAGCGCACCAAACACATGACCCTTGTAGCTAACGCTGTGCAATTTGAAGTCAAGTTGTTGACGTCAAGTTGTTAATTCTTGATTGGGACGAAAACATTTGGAAGCAAGACCGGAGGACAGGAAAGGCTTAAGCCATCCGCTGCCCAGGCTGACCATCCGGAGACAGAGACACATAAACCGGTATCTCTTTGTGTAGCATTCAGTCTGTGAAAGCGACTCTGTCAGATCCCAATATAGCATCCGCTAAGATGTACCCGCACCCAGGAATATGCTGAATTCTCAGACAGACATGGGTGTCGGCTATTCCTTGAGAACAGACGGAACTTCTGGAAACAGTAACCCGGTCAAACTCTTGTTAAACCACACAACAATCGGGTTGCCCGGGAGACAATGCGTCCAGTGAAGAATAGCGAGGAACACTGCCTAGAGCTCCAAACTGCTGATTGAGCTCATGACCGAAACCCTGAGATTATCAGATATTGTAAGGGGGTGCCTCAATTCTGCATGAAGGCGCTGACCTAAATGTAGGTAGTTCGGAACTCGCTCAGTCAAGGGGACTGCAGCTATGACATCTATGGGCGAGTCCACTACAAGAAAAAAAATACATAGAGGGCTGCTACTGCCAGCATGGTGTGTCTTTATAAATCAATACGACAAGTAAAACTATTGTGACATTTTACATAATTATTACATATAAATAATTATGAAAGTTAATGGTTACTAAACCATTATTAAATATAATTATTTGAATACAGGATTACACCTAACTAATTGTTTAATATGAACAATTCAAACAAACTTGCATTACCTGTAATTAGGAAATTACATAGAGGGCTGCCACTGCCAGCATGGTATGTGCCAGGCACATGGTACATGCAGCTTTATATCACCTGAGTGCACAGACTGCAGGAGCAGCATGTGCCAGAGCCCAGGATGTACCTGCCTGCAGCCTGCTCATCTGTATGGCAAGCTGTTAGGGACAAAAATTTAAAATGTGCCAGGGGTGCTGTGTTGTACATTGTATGAACAATTGAACCTGTGACACTGAGGTAAGGGAGGCAGGAGACCGACACGTTGACTAATGTCCGCCTGTCATTCCCGGGTGGACATCGGTCCGAACAGCACACATGGGATGAGGGTCTAAAACCTGTACCTGCCGGATTCCGAATGAGGATCCTGTCTGCTTGAAAGAGGCTTCAAATGTACGTCAGTGTGTGTGATGGTACAAGGTCTGAAACTTCCTGGTTGACAAGTCAACCCAGCTAATTAGCCCAGCTAGTAAAAAGACTTATGGTGAAAAACGGCTGCTGTCCGTATGCAAATTACGCCATATGGTGGAGAGCACATGTGAAATCACCAAATTATCAATGTTGCTGCATTATGATATGAGTTAATAACCATGGAGCTGTTGAAGTAAAAGCGCAGGTACTCCCGGTCGAAAGTAAACCTCGGAACCAGGCACATCGTTGAGGCAGAGCTATGAGGAGCCGGAACACATGTTTCCAGATGTCGTGACGTATGGACCCCCAAGAAATAACCAATTACGTCAGAAACGCAGTAGTCACCAGTGTACGGGTGTTTGGATAATACAAGGGCCTCTGGAAGAGGGAGTGTCCAGTCGTGTGGATCTTGAGCTTCATTTGCCCCTGCTTCCGTCACCCTTGAAGGGGACGTAGCTACGTTCATATCCTCCAGTGTCGATATGAGACTTGTCACCACGTCTCCAACCACAGATAGGAGCCTGATTCCAAGCCTGCCTAACAGTGTGGTGCCGAGGCAAGAGTAGGTACTGGATTCATGTGATGAGGGATGTTGGACTTGCTGGAAGGCCGTCAACGCTATCTCCCTCTGAGGAAAGTCTCACACTGTTCGATAGACGTCCTTGAACTCGTTATTAAATATGGTAGTCAAGGACTAGGGTTGGCCAGATAGATTCCACTAAAACTTTGAATCCCAACCGGAAAAGGGGAGAGAAAGCCTTGACCTCAAAAAACACATGCATTGGCGAGATCTGCCCGTAAGTGTTCGCCAAGGACAGTGAGGACCATCCACTACCAAGCCATCATAGAAGAGAGGTGACGATCCTGTACGGATTCATCTCAGGTCAGGTCTGGAGAGACAGTGTTAATAGCCGAAGTTAAGTTTGAGAACTGTCACGCGCTTAATTTCTTGACAAGGGATTGCGTAAAGCGCCACATCCGGCCTTAGAAGCCATAATAGTTGAAATCTCCGAGGGCAAGATGTGTATGCGTCTCCCGACTTAGGGGCCATCGGAGACAGTAGTGCAACCAACAGCTGCTGAACCCTTGACGATGTTGGAGGTGTTGGCGCAGTATGTTAAACACGGAGGCACTGAATATAGTGGAGGCGTCATCCAGCTGGTAGATCTAGTAGAGGCCATACAGCTTGTAGCTGTACAGGTGCTAGATCTAGTAGAGGCGCCATAAAGCTGGTAGCGTCGTACAGGCGCTAGATCTAGTAGAGGCGCCATACAGCTTGTAGCTGTACAGGCGCTAGATCTAGTAGAGGCCCATACAGCTGGTAGCGTCATACAGGTGCTAGATCTAGTAGAGGCGCCATACAGCTGGTAGTGCCGTACAGGCGCTGCAGTCCCTGCTAACTAGGCCAAGTGTGGAATGGATGTCGAAACATCCAGTGACTGCTGAGTGTGCGGCGCATGGATCTTAGGCGTCAGGAGTATGACGCCTGCCATGGAAACTCTGAAAACAGCAACCTGGAGAATGAAGACGGAGTGCCAGACGCCCTAGAGTTAGTGGACATCAGTGGTGTGGCAAGTATCTGGGTGCTTGCCATAGGCGACGTCGGTGTTGGACCTGGCGCTTCATAGACAGAAAAAAGGTGTTAAGATGATATATTAAGAAAGCGCAACAAGCACATTCATTCATGTGAAAAAACGGGGAAAAACACGGAAAAGTGCAATTCAAACAGTATGAATGAAGGCACTTATGAGATACCCCGCCTTACAAACTATACAGCGTGTGCTGTATAGAAACTGCAACATATTAGAAACCCCCAGCAAACACACGGTGAAAAACATTACAATAGTAATGAGGAACACACAGGTAAACAGCATAATTGAGAACAAACGTCTCACAAATACTGACAAAAACTGAAGACAAGAATTAAGGCTTAATATAAGATAATAGTATAACAAATAAGCATGAGCCATGAACAAGCCGCTACGAATACATCGAGGCCACGTGTTCTGAATGGCGAAGTGGCCGATAATAATAATGAAAAATATTGTGTTTAACACTAACACCATCACTACAACAGTACTACAAAACAGAAACAGAAGGGTAATACCTACACTCTCTGAAATACAAAGGAAAAACATCCAAAAGTCAGTATATTATGAACAAGCACAATTCATAGGATACAAATCAGTCGAGCTGGCAAACCACACGTCTTGCGAGGCGTGCGAAAAGCAATAATCTGAGGTGGCTGACATCACCTTCCGTTGATGCGTGTGCAGACGGATGTTTACCCGAGGCCACGAAGTGATCATAGTCTACGCTTTCAACATCAATCGTCTGGCACAGCCACGTTTCGAGTCGTAAGCAATAAGTGCAGGAAGTAAGTAGTGCAGGATTAGTTAAAAATTATGTATTTTGATGATGAAATAAAAATGCAATTGTTACCAACTAACATCTGTGTTTTATTTCCTAGCGTATTCTTATAACGACTTGCATTGTACTTCTTCAATTGCCATTTGCAATGTCGAGATCTACAAACTAATTGTCAAAAATGGTCACAATCTATTTACAGTAACATATTGACATCTAATTGATATGACCCTAATTTGCATGTTCAGACTAGATTGACTTGTAACTTATTGGTTTGATATTACTATCGTACAGGCGCACAGTAATTTGTGACCATTAAAATGAGACAAGGACCGATGAAGTCAATCTATTATCAAATGTCTGTTAGTTGAGAGATGGGTAATTTCAACTAAGTTACATTCTAAATTAACTATTTTATTCAAAATGAATCCTGAAAAAAGACCTGTAAGCGGCTTTTTGAAAATTACAGATGTAGTCATTGTATAGTAAATTGGTGTTTTATTGATTAAAAACTGTGCAGAATTGTTTTAGCTGTACTGTTGTTTACAATTGATAAAGATTATTTGCAAAAGAAACCAAATTGTTAATTGTAGTCAAGTGAAATTAATATTTGGTCAAGCAGATTTTGAAAGTTCAAAGTTTAGTTTTGAAAAACTTTCAACCCCTGATAGTAATTATCTAATCTTAGACATATCTACACTATACCGTTTTATTACTTGAGTGAGTGAGTTGGGTTTTACACCGCTTTTAGCAATATTCCAGCAATATCATGGTGGGGAACACCACAAATAAACTTCACATATTGTGCCAATGAAGGGAATCAAAACTGGGGCCTTGGCGAGACAAGCAAACGCTTGAACCACTAGGCTACCCCACCGCCCAATATTATTTTAGAGGATCCAATGGCCCTGGAATGTATTTGTGGAGTCTCCTGGACTTTGAATGAACTTTCTATATTTTCCAAATTTTTGGCATATTTTGCTGCATGCCATGTTCTGGTATTAAGGAAGATTATTTCAAGTTCACATCACAACACATACACCTGCATGTCAACCTAATTCTCTGTTGCCTGGCACATTACGTTAAACACAGAATATAACTCAAGCCAAACCTGCAGCATAGATAGCCACTCTGTCATCATTGTACTGCAGTAGATTCTCTGCATAGTTCAGTCTGGCTCCGTGAAACCATTCCGGCACCTCTGCTATGTTCTTGGAGGTATCTACCACCTGCAAACACATTCAAACACACTGATACCCATCTTAATGTTCCTTGAAACTCTGGGTGTGTTTGCCGTTTTAGAAATGACCCACGGAGATATCCAACCTTGTGTACTGCACACTAGGGGTTGTAACAACACTGCAAGAGCCTGAAGAATGTTAGCTCCAAGGCTGTTTACACCCAGTCACAAGTTGGGATCGATCGAGGCACCTTTCACTTACTAGCACGGTGCCTTCGACAGCTTGCTCACCTAGGCCCTACTTGCAAGATATATGCTTTGCAGCAATGCTTCCTTTATCAGGAAAATGTTTTTCAAAGGCTTATGTCAGGGTTTTGCAATGTGTCAGTTCATTGAGTTCAATAACATCTGAAATACAGATCACTGTAAGTATGACACTACATAAGGAAGAAATTGACATTTGTGTTTACTTATCGTAAACAATGGGAACAAATAATGTGTATACAATTAATATTTTTTCTTTTCAAAATGTATGATTTCTACAATACGACATTACACATAATATTTATTACCTATATCATGGTAATGTCAGTATTTATGTCAATAGCATTAACCTAAATACACCAGTAATTATCTTTAAATACCTATAACTGAAAGCAGAATTTTGAAAAGGCCATGTCAGATTTAATTTACACAATCGCAATGGTTTGATTCGATAGTAAATTCTGATAGTAGATCCACTTCAACAAGAAAAAAAGTCATAAATATCTCCCGCAATGGTAAAATACTCTTCATGAATATGTCAACTAGTCATGACTATGTCAAATCTACCATTTGATGTACAGTGAAGCCTCGTTAATCCGGACGGTTGCGTTTCTAAGCAAATTCGTCTCGATTGCGAATCGTCTGGACTACTGAATCAAGACCCAAGTTCAAGCAAGAGTTGCTTCCCTTACTAAGGCTGTAACGATTCACTCGCATATTCGGTGAATCGAACCGTAGCCCTTCATGAATTCAATTCGTTATTCGTGGTCACCAGAACCGAATATTAATGATTTTTTTAAGGGAGCATGTTTTACTTGAACCCTTATGTCCTTTTCAAAGTGAGATATGCAAGAATGGAACATGTACTAGCATTGCAGTAGCGCAAGTCATGTTAGTTTGCCAAGACTGCACATGATACTGTTGATTATAACTATTACCAAGATTACATACCAAATCTGAGTGTCATGAGATCACTGGTTATTGCTGTGACAAATCAAAACTGTCAACATGGGCATTCCATATTGTACATCAATCACTTAACTACAATATTGTATTCGTGAATAATTATTCGTATTCGTTACCCAATATTCATGATACGTATCATATTCGCCACATAGTGTATTCGTTTGCAGCCCTATCCCTTACTATTACAAAAACGACACGACTCCTCCTCTTCTTCTTGACAATCATCATCTTCATGAGAAATAATATCCACATGTCTGTAACAGCTGCTAATTGTTTGCGCGTTGCAGCGTTGTCAGAAGCAAAATCACTTTAAGTCCACGTGACTGCATCTGTCTGTCAAAGTACATTAACCAATCACAAAACAGCTCACTTGTCATCCACGCCTTTGTAAACACCTCGGTCTTCTTAATTAAAACAACAACCCTTAATTGACATTTCTCAAAAGTTAACAAGAGTTCATCTTGTCAACTCCATGACACCGAGTGTTTATTGTTCGAGGCCAGTTAAGTTAACATCGCTGGGAGGTGTTGTTACGTTCGTGAACATGACTTACAGCGTCTGGACTGTGAAGCAATTTACTGTTTATTTTACTGATTGGTTACAGCTACTTACCATCCGGTTCCGGAAACCGAATTTCCGGATTATCAAGGCAAATTAAATAGGCATAGATTGGTAACAAGCTGAAATCGTCCGGGAGGTGAGACATCCGGATTATCGGGGTCCGGACTAACAGGGCTTCACTGTATATCAGTAATGTTAATACTGGAAATGGCGTGGAGAGGTGGCGTGTGGTCCTATGCATAGAGCTCAGGTCACAAGTTAAGCAACGCTGAGTGTGGACAGTCACTGGATGGGTGCCCGTGGCAGCTTGACTCCTGAGAGTTTCTGTGACTTCGGTCCTGCCCCACAACAAAGCGTTGTTACACATGTGGTCTCATCTTAGGCAAGTGAGCTTGTTCAAAATTGCCTCTGTTCACCCAGCAGAAAGTGGGTACCCGGTGGGACAGGTTATGTAACTAATAACCTTCTAGTGCTTCAAAGGCTGCTTGGGTTATCCGGGGTAATAATGTGTTAGTGCTTTGAGCATGTTTGGAGACCCACGAATGTGTGGAAAAGGCGTGGTATTATAAATGGCCATAATTATATCATTATTAAATAGAGTGGTACTGTTGATATATGTCATTATGTTCTTGGAGACCCACAGGGTGGAAAGAAAGTACAGAAAGCTTTTAAAGTTCTGCTCTGGAAAGGAGCACTACCACCAATTTCAAGCCTAATGAAGATCCAAATATGTGTAATCCCAACCCATATGAATTTCTGTTCTACCGTGTACAAGTGGTGTTGCATCATGTACTTTGTATACATGTATCTACTGATTTTGAATGAATAAAAAAAAAGAAAGAAAAAAAAAGAAGAAATTTCAAGTCAAACTTGTTGCCATGGAAATGCAAAAATTATTTCATTCAGATATCCAAAACTACCAAAAGGCAAAAGTTCACCATCAGACCTATCTATGTGCCAAGACTGGTGAAGAAATATTGAATGGTTTGTATATTCTAGTCCGGAAAAGACGAATTTGTACGGACAGACACACGGACGGAAGGCATACAATTTAATACCCTTGCAAAACGCACTGCAAGAGATAATAATAGCCAAGAGGGAAATATCAGATTTGTGTGTTTTAGTCCAGTAGGAACAGTTGGCCCCAGGACACCCAATATGGATTATCAAGAGCTCTTTGGAACAAATATACATGAAGAGACTCGGTAATCCCTACCCATGTCAAGCACATGTCACAGTTGGGTGTTCGCCTTTCAATACAAATGAAATCCAATATTGTACACATTTGTCAACAGCCTGTATGTTTACATATTGTATGTTGGTATCAAATAGCATGTTTATATGCTGGTGAGCTGTGAGTGTACTACATCACAACGACACATTTATTACTACAAAAAAGGAATGAATTGTTGTAGTGTTGAGCTTGATATTAAGAATTATTGATTGAAGTTCCCAACTGGCTGTCATGATATATTCAATCCATTCCAACTCTAATTGATATTTTCTGCAGGACAGTTCAACTACCCAAGTTGCTTAGGCATCTGTCCTTTCCCTGGTTGAAGAGTGAGTGGGGTGTACTATATGTACCATCAGTAAATTTAATCTCATGACAGTATTCTGAGATTTCTTCACAAAGATAATCTCTTCAATAAAAGGGAAATATTGCCTTTACAAAGTACAGTAGACCTGCTTCAGGCTTTCATTTACCTAATCTACACTATTGGAAATCTGGACTGTCTTGCCCAAACTCATGTATGCAGGAGATAGACACAGTTATCCATAATAATATTCCTTGACCTTTTTAAATCCAACTTGTCAAAACTTATAGACTCCACTTTTCAAATATCTTTGCTTCAGGTTCTGTACAAGACTAAGCATAATACTCTTAGTTTGTTATCTGACCTGTTTGTATGGAGCAGAGGAAATCACGCCTGTAAATTTCCATACTTCCTCCCAAAATGCAGCATAATGATCACATGACCATCGATGGAATTGTTGGTATGTTTCTGAAGCAAAAACATTTCATAATTAGTTTTCAGGATATTAGAATATAACAAAAATAGATGGCAAGTACATGACTCAGAGACACTGGCACACAAAATGAAAACCACAAAACAAGGATGTCTCTTGGTTAATAACAAAAATACAAGATGTCAGTCTTGTAACCTTCCACTGTCAAGAACTGGCGGGACATAGTGGTGTAAAATAACAGATGACACTGTCGTACCATTTCTCTTGCATTGTCAATATAGATAAACACCTTGAAAATAAAACCTTGTCAAACCCTGACATTACTGGGTTGGGTATCAAGGCAGCATTTTTATTTTTCGTGTTTCTCATCGTCCGACCGACCCTTCTAATTTTACTATCTACCCACCCCAAATACTTTGTTTTCATTCCAACACCGCCGACTTGAACCTTGAATGTACCGCCTCGTCATATAAAATGTTTATCTATCTATCTAAAATGTTTTAATCATTCGCTGCCACAAGTCCAAAAAGAAATTCTAATAAGAATTACAAAATAAATGAGAATCAACAACATAATTTGGATAATTTTGTCTTTATCAAGTTTTTTTTTTATTTTCATTCCTGACCGACCCATGTTCAGAATTTCGTGGCTAAGTGAAACACATAAAACAAAATGCTGCCCTAAGCTGATTTGAAAAGTTTTCAAGTTACGTACATAATGGCGTGTCAGCTCTATGTTTGTCTGTTTGTTGTTTAAAGCCGTAATATTCCAGCTATATGGTGACTAATGTGATCAGGTGGTCAGGCTCGCTGACTTTGTTGATGCATGTCATGTAATCCCAATTGCGTAGATCGATGCTCATGCTGTTGATCACTGGATTGTCTGGTCCAGACTGAATTATTTACAGACCACCGCCATATATATTGCTGAGTGCAGCATTAAACAACAAAGAAAACAAACCTGAAGATACGCATGGAAGACTGATGGCCTATAGTCTTCTGTCATTGACGGGGACATTCTTGTTATGGTCATGTATATTTTCTCAGGCACTTAGTAATCTCATCTATATTCCATCTGAATCTTAGTGGTCAGTCAAGCAAAGACACGCAAGGCTGGACAGCAGTCTCTTTTCATAACGAAACAAACTGACCGTCAATGAGAATTTGTTGAATTTTGTTTTACAAAACACCAATTTTTAGTCACCAAAATAGTGTCAACAAACTATACGTACCTAACTTACATGGAACAACTACTTATTTTAAGACATATCAATGGCTAGTTTACTTGAGTCTCGCGACTGTCTCTGTCTCGTCTTATTTACACGCACGCAAACAGAGCTAACTCTGGTTACATAAAAACAAAGCAGTAAATCATAGACTATCGGCATGACATGACTGCTGTAAACATGCCCAATCAAAACTCATTCTCAAACAGTAGTCTATACTGAGTAGACGCTTCGCTACACACCCAATTTAACTCCGTATTTCTCATTGATGGATGTCCTGAGTCTATCCATTTTGGTTGGTTTGCTTCTATCAGGCTTCCACATGACCCTAGGGGTGTTGTCACCGGCCACATCCATTGCTAACAGCTTCGAAACAACTTCGTCTGCTCAACACACGACCACAGCTTGCAGCGTGGACTTGTCAAGTGGTGTAAAATGTCCAATATCCCGGTGGCGGAAGTATTTCCGCTTGAGCTATGTACATCATTAAACTAAATTCTGTTCTATTTGTGTTCAATTCAAGTTCTTTGTTGTCACTTATTTCTTTATCGATCCGTTTAAATATAGTTAATGATAGTGAATTTACTATAAACTAGGCACTATATGTAAGTCGGACCTTGGCGTATGAATATATAGTAAATAAGAAAGAGAGCTCTGATTGGCTAATACTCTGTCAGAAGATACACACCCCCAACAGGTGACACATGTTCTTCGTCGAAGAATCTTAAGTGAGAGAGCTACTGTGATTCCGTAATCACGGTATGTCTAGCCTAGAAGTAACTTACTATAAGTGATGATTGTCAATTATACCAGGGACAAATAAATAATAGACGAAAATGAACCAGATCCATTTCAAAATATTTTTAGCAAACATTTAAACGTGTTTTAATGATTGATGGAAATTAATTAACAGTAATTGCCCGTCTCGTACAACAGATGCTATCTTAATTAATTTGAGCGAGTGAGTGCGTTTGGTTCAAACGCTGATTTTAACACTATTCCAGCTATATCAACGACATGTCAGCTTCAAATCGTGGAGGGCCGGGGGGGAGGGGTGTGGGGTGGGGTGGGGTGTGTGTGTTGGTGTGGTGGTGGTGTTAGCCTAGTGGTTAAAGCGCTCGCTCGTCAAGCCAAAGACTCGGGTTCGATTCCCCACATGGCTACAATATGTGAAGCCCATTTCTGGTGCCCCGGCCCCTGCCGTGATATTGCTGGAATATTGCTTAAAGCGGCGTAACATCAAAGTCACTCACTAGCTCACTAAGCTCACTCACATATATCGTGGAAGGAAAGTCACAATTTATAATTGATCCATTATGCAGGTCTCGCACGTTTACGGACCCGTCGAGATCCGGCGCACCGCAGGCGGGCCGCCAGCTATTAGCCGCTGTCGGCTTGCCGACTGTAGCCACCGACGGACCGATGACGTCGTGCTATCTGGGTTACAGCCCGCCGCCATATAGCTGGAATATTGCTGGGTGCGGCGTTATGTAACAACAAAAAAAACCCACAAATATGCCCCAAAAAAAAATGAAAAAATAAAATAAACACACAAAAAACACACACAGAAACAACCAAGCCCCCAAAAAAACAAACAAACAAACAACAACATAGAAAAAATCAAACAAAAACAAAACTAAGCAAAAACAACCCTCCCCCCTCCAAAACAAAACAACCCCAAAAGCCCACCCCAAAAAACATAAACAATAATAACAAAACAAACACCCAGTCATTTACCATTTCGGTGAAACCTATAAGCACGGGGGTAGAGTGCTGACAAACAGAGACAATAAGACGAATAGTGTGAACTGAGAAAACCCCGGCATGGCTTGTTTCATGACATGTATAATACAGCAGGGAAATCAATGGACTGAGACTGACTTGTGGATATACGCCATGGACATTTCAAATAATCGCGATATCCTTTCACTTGTAAATACTTGAAGCCGTGCATCTACAGAGTGCGTTCCCATTAACGGAACGCGTGTGTGTACACAATCCCTTAATATCTCTATTTATACGGGAGACGTGAAAACACGTTTAGAACCCCATGCTTAAAAGCTTGTCGCCAGAAGCGGCTACGGGATCAGGTGATCAGACTGGCTTGGTTGATATATATGGTATCGTACCCCAGGTTCGTAGATCGATGATCATGATGTCAATTTTGAGTTGTCTGATCCGGAATGGATTATTTACAGACTGCTGTCATATATACTCAGCAGCAAAAAAAACCCCGTCAGTACGAATTCAAAATTAGATAGGCACTGTAATCAAATCATTACAGAAATGGACACAATAAGCGGATCAAAAACACTTTTTGTGTACAATATTCTGACACATCAATAAATATCTCAGTACAATTTCAAGACATTACGTGAACGTTTGCAGTCCATTCAGACTCTTGACAGTATCTAGTTTGACCACCATGAGCGGCAATAACTGCAGCACAGCGTCTATGCATGGAGTGCACCAATCGATTGATGAAGGCCATTGGCACCTGGAACCCACTCTGAGAAGGCCTGGCGCAATAAATCGGCCGTGTTCGGCCTTGGTATGACATTATTCAGTCTCCTCTGAATTTCATCCCAAAGATGTTCAATTGGGTTTTAAATCAGGACTCAGGGCTTCTTGACACCGTTCTGCTGTAGGAAGTCCTCGGCCGGGGCGTTATCATGCTTGAAAATGTTGTTCCGGTGACGTGCAAATGAGGGATGACGACAGCTTTGTCGTAGCGCACTGTAGTGATACCGCCTCCTCTCCTGGACCAAGGTTCTGGAACACCACAGGACCCACTCTCTCTGGTTCAGGCCTATTTCCACCATACCATGATGCTTGCACCTCCCCATGAGTCTCTTTCCATAACACATTGGTCTACGGTAACCCAGTGGCCACGTCGTCGCCATATTCTTGTTCTGCCATTGGTGTTGTCCAGGGCGCCAGTTTTGGTGTTGTAGGGCAAACTGTAGACGTTCACGCCGATGACGAGGGGTGAGGATAGGTCCACGGTAATATCTACGGCAATGGAGGTTCCCGTTGTTAAGACGTTGGCGTACTGTATCAGTACTGATTGGTCTTCCGTGTGTTCCCACTGTCTGGCGTGCTGTTTCGGATGCCTGCATGAAGGGATTCTGTACATGCTGTCGCACAACATGGCGGTCTTGTCGTCTTGTGGTCACCCTTGGTGTGCCAGTACGGGGGCGATCATTTGTGGTGTTGGTTGCCCGGAAACGTTGCTGCAGCCTGGATATGGTCCGAACGTTGACCTGGAAGTGATTGGCAACGGCTTGTGCAGTGTGGCCAGCATCAAGTTTTCCTAGCGCCTGGTTCCTCTGAGCTGTCGTGAGTCGCGGCATCCTTCTGACGTTATAATGTGAATGTTTCCACAAGGTTTGGGGGTGCATTTTATAGGACTGGTCCTTGTGAACAGCACGTGCAGCATGAGTTGCATGAAAAACATGGAGAACACCGTACCATCTCCGAGAGACCATTTCCTGGGTTCCATTCTGAGTTTGGGAAGGAATGTCTTTGCTCAGGTAAAATTAGAGATGTTGTCTAAAATATACAATCAAAATATTAAATGAGTTTACAGTTATCCGTTTCTGCGAAGGAAAATTCCAAACTGACGTTTCTTTTGCTGCTTAGTATAGCTGGAATATTGCTGAGTGCGGCGTTAAACAACAAACAAACACAATACTACGCAGGCCTTTTTTGCACGAAGCCGTGTTGCGCTGTGACGGTCGTAACTTGATCGTAAATTTTGAAAACATAAACGTCTGTCTCACATTTTCATATGGCTAAAATATACCACCGAGTGAGTGAGAGAGGGAGGGAGTGAGGGAGTGTGGTTTTACTCCCCGCTTTTAGCAATATTCCAGCAATATCCGGACGGGGGACACAAGACATAGGCTTCACACATTCTGCCCATGAGGGGAATCGAAACCAGGGCCTTCGGCGAGACGAGCGAATGCTTTAACCACTAGGCTACCCCACTGCCCTCATTACTCTAAAGGATGCAATGGCCCGGGAGTGTATTTGTGGAGTCTCCTGGACTCCTAGTTCTGAAAGTCAAGGTAATACACTGAATATTCGAAACTTGGATTCAACATTTGCACATTTTCCAGATTCTTTGCATGGCTTCACACATTGTACACATGTGGGGAATCGAACCCAGACCACTAGGCTACCTCATCGCCCCTCCACTCAATAGTATACACAGAACATGTAATGAAAGGGGAGACAACTGTTCGGGCTGGCCATCGATATAGATCATAGAGATCGATAATCGTTGATTAGTCAGTGTGAGTGAGTTTAGTTTTACGCCACACTCAGCAATATTCCAGCTATATGGCGTAATCGTTAATTAAATATCGATTGTCGATAAATAACGGTAACGAGGGGCAAAACAAAAAACCAACAAAAAACAACAAAAACCCAAACAAACAAGAACAACCAACAAAAAAACAAAAAAACAAAACAAAACAAAACGAAAACAACAAAAAACAAAACACAAATAACAACCACAAAAACCTCAAAAACAAAAGGAAATAAGTCTGGTGAGTGCTGACATAGCCGATTAGCTGCCTGTCGTACGAATTAATAAATCAAGCTTTTGACGCCAGAAATATATTATTTATTAATTCGTTGTGCGAAACATAACTCTGATTTAAGCATGCTAATCGATCACAGCCTGCAACGTGGTCTGCAGATGACAATAGCAGCCTGGGTGGTTGCATATCCAGTCTTTCTTGGGCTGACGTTTTTTTACATATGTAGACCTACTAAATTTGTTACTGAAATAGACACCCAAATATTTATCGTGCTTACATACATCCGAATATACTTCCAAATTTTCTGTGATAATATTCCTGTCAGTACGATGAGACAGACACACCCTCTCAGTATATGATGCACAGATAGCAACGCCCTCTCAGTATGATGATGTGCAGACAGCCACGCCTTCTCAGTACGATGATGCACAGACAGCCACGTCCTCTCAGTACATGATGCACAGACAGCCACGCCCTGACAGTATATGATGCACAGACAGCCACACCCTCTCAGTATGCCGATTCACAGACATGCCCTCTCAGCATATGATGTACAGACACCCATGCCCTGACAGTAGATGCACAGGCAGCCACACCCTCTCAGTACATTGATGTACAGCTACGCCCTGACAGTATATGATGCACAGACAGCCACGCCCTTTCAGTACGATGATGCACAGACAGACACGCCCTCTCAGTATACGATGCACACACAGCCACCCCCTCTCAGTATGATAATGCAGACACAGCCATACCCTTTCAGTACGATGATGCACAAGCATCTCTCAGTAAGATGATGAACAGACAGCCATGCCCTTTCAGTACGATGATGCACAGACAGCCACGCCCTCTCAGTATACGAGGCACACACAGCCACGCCCTCTCAGTATACGATGCACACACAGCCATGCCCTCTCAGTACGATGATGCACAGACAGCCATGCCCTCTCAGTACGAAGATGCACAGACAGCCAGGCCCCCTCAGTATGATGATGCACAGACAGCCACGCCCTTTCAGTTTATGATGCACAGACAGCCAAGCTCTCTCAGTACGATGATGCACACACAGCCAGGCCCCCTCAGTATGATGATGCACAGACAGCCACGCCCTTTCAGTTTATGATGCACAGACAGCCACGCCCTCTCAGTATATGATGCACAGATAGCCACGCCCTCTCAGAATATGATGCACAGACAGCCACGCCCTCTCAGTATGATGATGCACAGACAGCCACGCCCTCTCAGTATGATGATGCACAGAGAACCACACCCTCTCAGTATGATGATGCACAGACAGCCACGCCCTCTCAGTAGGATGATGTACGGACAGCCACGCCCTCTCAGTATAATGATGCACAGACAGCCACTCCCTCTCAGTACGATGATGCACAGATAGCCACGCCCTCTCAGTATGATGCTGCTAAGACAGCCACGCCCTCTCAGTATGATGATGCACAGACAGCCACGCCCTCTCAGTATGATGATGCACAGAGAACCACACCCTCTCAGTATGATGATGCACAGACAGCCACGCCCTCTCAGTAGGATCATGTACGGACAGCCACGCCCTCTCAGTATGATGATGCACAGACAGCCACGCCCTCTCAGTACGATGATGCACAGATAGCCACGCCCTCTCAGTATGGTGATGCACAGATAGCCACGCCCTCTCAGTATACGAGGGCAAGACAGCCACGCCCTCTCAGTATACGATGCACACACAGCCATGCCCTGTCAGTACGATGTTCCATAGACAGCCATGCCCTCTCAGTACGACGATGCAGAGACAGCCACGCCCTCTCAGTATGATGATGCACAGACAGCAACGCCCTCTCAGTACGATGATGCAGAGACATCCATGCCCTCTCAGTACGACGATGCAGAGACAGCAACGCCCTCTCAGTACGATGATGCAGAGACATCCATGCCCTCTCAGTATGATGATGCACAGACAGCCACGCCCTCTCAGTATGATGCTGCACACACAGCCACACCCTCTCAGTACGATGATGCAAAGACGGCCACGCCCTCTCAGTATGATGATGCACACACAGCCACGCCCTCTCAGTACGATGATGCACAGGCACGCCCTCTCAGCATATGATGTATTTCGGCGCAAGACGAAGACTAATACCAGAGTGCCACTTGTAAATGTCACTACAACATATCCGCTGGAACTTGTCTCTATGGTCTTTTTGATCTTGGAACCATCTTACATTGTGGAATACCTACCAGAATTCATTCTGACCAGGGTGCAAACTTTGAAAGTAAACTGATAAAAGAACTTTGCAACATCATGGGAATGGAAAAATCACGTACCACTGCATATCATCCAATGGGAAATGGACAATGTGAACGTTTTAACAGAACATTGTTGAATATGCTTGGAACATTGGACCATAACAAGAAGGCAGATTGGAAACCTCACGTGGGACCGCTTGTTCATGCCTACAATTGCACAAAACACGAAACAACCGTGTATCCCCGGTATATGTTGATGTTTTTGGTCGGCATCCAAGATTGCCAATAGACATTGCTTTTGGGGTTGATAGGAACCCAGGCTATGAAAATCTACTGTCATTCACAAAGACATTACGGTTGCGACTTCAAGAAGCATACAAGTTGGCATCAGAAATGTCTATCAAATCAAAAGAAAAACAAAAGAAAAGTTATGATCAGAAAGCTAGAGGAGCTGGAATTCAGATAGGTGATAGGATGCTGGTGAAAATTTTAGCACATGATGGTAAACACAAGCTAGAAGACAAATGGGAGGAGAAAGTTTATATCGTCACTAATCAACCAAACGTGGTTTCACCTGAGTTCGGTGATGGTCGGACGAAAATCCTCCATTGCAATCATTTGTTGCCCATATGACATTTACCATGTCGGGAAGATAATCAGCCCCAGCCTATGCCCAGTATACGACAGGACTAGTCGAAGTCTGAGAGTGATTTGACTGAAGCTGAATCCACCTGTTCAGAGGATGACCTTGTTCGTATTGATACAGTTCCTGTCTTGAGTACAGACTCCGCTACTTATGGATTATTTACAGTGTCCAATGGAGTTGCACCTGAGCTGAAAGTTATGGAAGACGTTCAATAGGATGGTGACGATCATCCAGATGTTGGACAAGACCAGGAATCTGATAAAGAGGGGGAAGGGATAGAGGAGACAGGATCTCAGATGAGTGCCCCAGAAACTGCTGCTGAAACAGAAACGGAGACTGCTGAGCATGTAGAGTCAGTAACTGAGGCACTGACACCTCTAGTTGACACTGCAGACATCAGTGAGACTGAAGTAACAAGGCTCGGAAGTTCAAGAACAAACTTTACCTCGTAGATCCGCCAGGGATAGAAGGAAACCTAATTGGATGACAATTTCGATGATGCACAGACAGCTACGCCCTCTCAGTACGATGATGCACAGATAGCCATGCCCTGACAGTATATAATGCATAGACAGCCACGCCCTGATAGTAGGTGATGCACAGACAGTCACGCCCTTTCAGTACGATGATGTACAGACAGCCACACCCTGACAGTAGATGTACAGATAGCCACGCACTTTCAGTATGATGATATACAGATAGCCACGCCCTCTCAGTACGATGATGTACAGATAGCCACACCTTTTTGCAGTATATAACGTATAAATAGCCTCACCCTTGCAGTATACGATGGACAGACAGCCAGACCCTCCCAAATAATTTAGTATGGGATAAGTGCACAAAGCATTTAGTTCTTGTTCAGGGCAGTTTGACAGGTGTGGGCTGCCGTACCAGTAGTATAACCCTTTCTTCAATGTCATTACCTAGGACTGACATGTCAACAAGATTATGCCCATCCTCACACGTCTAGGGATTCTTTCACTTTACTTTAACAGTACAATGTTCAAGTCCTGCTTTGGCAAAACATCGCTATCTCTCCCATGAAATGGAGCGACGTCTACACCGTGTACTGATTCCGTCAGACAACGTTCGTGATTTGGCAGCAGAGTTATGCTTTTAGAATATGGGAAGCCATTCCACAAGCCTTCCATGCCCATTTGATAGACGCTATCTGTCGGCCATACTCTGCTACACCCCGGACTACTGAGATTGCTCCAGGCTCCATTGCAGCGCCATGTCGGAACTGAGAGCTTGCCCTGTCCTGTCATGTCCAAGGCACCTTGTAATGAAGAGATGGATCGAGTAAACCTATGTGAGTATAAAACTTGGTGTTGACTTATTCCTGGTATGTCAGAGTGACAGCACATGGATAAAATGTGGTTATTGAGGAGTTACAGTCGTCTGATCTCTCTCTCCTTGACTTAACATTCCCCATCGTCAGGATGAACATTAATCTTTTGAAAAACTATAAATATCGTACATAAAACAGTATGACTCTCACAAGTGGTCTGTTTGAAAATGTGTCTTCCATGCGGCTGTCTGTTTCTCTACCCAAGGGGACAATTTGTTCATCTACAAAACAGTTCATTATTTATATTGAAATACCAACACGTTTCCATCCACCTAGAATCAATACATCTATCATGAAACGGAATGCTGTGAGGTATATAAAACCCTAGAGCCAAGAGATCAGTATCTGCATTGATACAACTGGGGTTCGGTGATTGGCCCACCTCCCACAACCGAAAGCTATGAATACATATTTAGAAAGTGGTCAAATGTAACACATGTTATATTTGGGATTAAACTTTCTCAGTACACTATCTCACTTTCTCAATGACTTTGTGCAGTCATAGTGTATACGTTATGTTTCTGAAGCTGCAGTCCCAGCGTTACCAACCAGCCTTGGTTCTCCTGTCTGTGATTTCCTGACCCTACATGTCTCTATACTGTTCCTCGGAGGAGCTGTGTACATTCTGCAATACCATGATACAATATGTACCATCTTCCATGTAAACCATCCCGCCATCCTACGTATTTTTAACGGTATATTTGTGTGACCAGGTCTTCAAAACAACAAAGTCGCTGGTATAGGGGAGGACATTTTATTCTCCGTTGGGTAGTTAAGTCCACAAAAACATCACCCTGAAACATTTGACAAAGAATCCAATGGACAGCAAACAATCATTCTATAAGAATATTCTATATCACAAATAGGGTAACATTTCATTGGTTGCATTAATTAAATTAAAATAGTCATGTGACACAAATACACACGCACACCACGTTCAAAACATTCACACAATGTACTAAGGAAAATACACCTTACCCATCTATGGAATGGAATGGAGTTTACTATTCTACCCCTTTTTGGCACCTGCAAACAACATTTGCCAAGTTCACAAAAATTGCCAAGGCATACACAAGTGCATACACTACAGTTACATGTTATGCTAGAAATAATTTGCTAATTATTTATTTGTAGTATTTTAAATGTTTTCTCAAGCATAATATAAATAACAACCTCTAAAGTTAATTTGTTAAACAAAACAAGTATTCAACTAACCTTCTGTGGCAAGTAACAGTGCTGCTGCTGTGCTGTGCAATGCTGGATACTAAGTGCCATGTGCTTGGACACTCAGTGTATTTAATATGCCTAAAAAAACTTGTACCCAATCAGAGACTTAATCTCTGGTCACATTACACACAATATGAAATTGAGGCCAGAATGAACCACCTCACTTCCTTAGTGATGTAAATATTCCACAAAGGGGCATAATTCAGATGCACCTCAACCACATAGAATTTTATTAACAAACCCTCAACAAAACCTTTTATCAGTTTTGTAAATCTGATTTTTAAACAACCACAATGTTTATTAAATAACCCTTCACCAATGAAAGCTTTAAACATATTTTTGGAGTTTAGCAGTTTATACTTTTTATTTGCATAATTTTATAATTACATAAAACACCTTCACCTGAACAATAAAATCTGATATGTCTCAATTGACATCATATCCTGCTACATTTTGAAAACAAATACATTGCTGAGTGATCACATGAGTAATCTGGTAACAACGGTTAGTGAATAATTCAGCATCTAAAACTTTGGGAGCTACGGACAGGGCTGTGGGATATTTCACCACTTCTGGAATTTCAGTATTAGTTTCACAGTTGCTGCAGGAGTATTACAATTCCATTGCAGCTCTCGACTGTTGTCCATGGTCAGCCTATTTCATTTGAGTTCCGTGCAATCCAGTCACATTTACAATGAAGCTCTTATTGTGTTGGATCACAGTACACGTGTGTCTGTGTTTTCTACCCTTTCATCGCGCGATGCGCCAGAGAGTAGTCTCATTCCATGTTGTCAATCAAACCTCAATGGTCGATCTGTCAGGTCCTGTCTTCAGCCACGTCAGCAAAGTAAAGTGTACCCTGATATGCTTTGAAAACACCTCCTGCACATCTGTGTTCTACTGGGAGAGCGAGGGGAAGTGCAGAACTACTACTGCACCACAAGCATCTGCTGAACAAGGTGGGCATGGCAACGCCACCATACAAGATCCAAAGGTAAACAGACATGATTCAAAGAGCAACACAACCATGCAAGATCCAAAGGCCAGCAAACAAGATCCAAAGAGCAAGGCCATCAGACAAGATCCAAAGGTAAACAGACATGATTCAAAGAGCAACACAACCATGCAAGATCCAAAGGCCAGCAAACAAGATCCAAAGAGCAAGGCCATCAGACAAGATCCAAAGGGCAAGATCAGCAAACAGGATCCAAAGGGCAAGGTCTACCATGGTGTTCTAAGAAAAGTGAGTATCACGTAAAAAAATATAATTGAACTATTATTTTACTCAGTAGACAGACAACCTGAGAAGTATCTCCCCTATCTCAAACATGCTAATGTGTGGTGGAAACACCATGGTCATAAATGTCGGCAGAATCCTCATTCTTACTTTGGTCTGATAAAGATTGGTCATAATTTCATCACACCAGTCTCCTTGTCTCTTACAGAGAGTACCAGTGATCGTAGATCGGTGTTAGTATTTGTGTTGCAAAGTTGCTTCCCGTTGTCCTGTCAGAAATCTATGATCGTTGGTGCAAAGGCCAATTTCGTCCATTTTGTTTTAGACTTTGTCTGCACTATTCCCACAATCACACCATCCCCAAATCATTGAACTCCAAAACTGTCACCAGTATTGATTAATTTGGAACTTTTGTAACATATTGAAATCATATTTAAGATCACGTGTCATCATTGCGAAAACAAGACGCTTAAACTGGGCCAAGAAGATTCTGAGAAAATGCTTACAGAACACGCCGAGGAAAACAGCCAGGCAATAAGAAGATATAAGGTGAACTAAGATTATTGTTTGGGTGTACTCTAAATGAGGGTTGTATGTCATAGCAAAAGCATTGTTTTCGTTGTACGAGGATTCAAATATGGGAAATATTCAAGTGCCCAGCAACTTGTGCTTCTTGTGAAAGGGGAATAGTGGAATGGCGGTCAGGCTCGATGACATGGGTGATTGCATGTCATTGTATCTCAGTCTCGTGGACTGATGATCAGTTACAGGACTGTATCGTCCGGTGCAAGCATGTACAAACAATGACGTCACACAGTTTGATGCTAGTAGGGTTAGACGTTAAACTACCTGACAAATATACAGACGAAAACTAAACAACCAACTAACAATTTATGACGTCATATTCGATTCGCGGTGTATCCTGAAAGCGAAGGATGTGTCTCACAGACAGAATGTAACCCGTATGTGCCCTACAGACAGAATGTAACCCGTGAGAATTGTAACACGTAACATTGCCGAAACGAACACGGATTAGTGCAACGAATTTCCGGAAGTTGTAACAAAACATTTCATGACAATAGCTGAAAAACCTTCAAGTATTTTTGGAATTTATCTGAGATATTGATATGGTATGTGACAACTTCTGCAAGTGTATTAACATTTCGTTTGGCTGTGGTGTTTCCTTTTGCTAACGTATCTCTGATCTCTTAGATTGTTCACTACTGTTATCATAATAGTTTCTTTCTTTCTTTGTTTCTTGTTTAACGCTGCACTTAGCAATATCCCAGCTATATGGCGGCGGTCTAGAAATAATCGAGTATGGACCAGACAATCTAATGATCAACAGCATGAGCATCCATTTACGCAACTGGGGTACGATGACAACCAAGTCATCGAGTCTGACCACCCGATCCCCGTTGGTCGCCTCTTACGACTAGCAGGATTCACAGGATAACACTGATTACACCTAGTTCCACCCTAGGTTTTGTTTGTAATTTTATTATATCACAGTCCAGCTTTATGACGGTGATATGGAAAGAATCGGACATTACAGTGATTGACATATAATATATGGAATCTACTGAATGATTAAAGTGGGGTCCGCGTGGTCCAACAAACAACTGCAACCATCTTGTTGCTCTCCTGTTGCAGTCAGAGCAATACTATTACTTCAAGGAGATCGGTTTATCGTTGATACATCACCTGGACCACAAATTATGGGACGAGGCGAACAGTGTATGCGTCGAGGAGGGTGGTTTCATTTTCACCATTGACAACCAGAAGAAACAGGATGCTGCAGAACGACTGGTGGAGTTTTCAGGTAATATTTACACTTAAGTATAACATGAGTGTCTCTCTGTTGGTGTCGGTGTACAGAGGGGAGGTATAATCGGGGGCAGAACTCTATTGTTGAAATATTTCTTGCTCCATATGTCTTTCATGAGTTTCGTGCGGCAAAGTAAACTAAGTACATTAACTTAGGTTTTCCAGGGTGCACGCACGCGCGCACGCGGACACGCACACACACAGACACTCTCTCTCCCACATTCTATCTCACACACACTCTCTCTTTCACTGTCACTATCTCTCCCACCTAATCAATCTTGACCATCTATTCACGCTTGACCACCTAATCACTCTTGACCATCTTATCACTCTTGACCACCTTATAACTCTGGATCACCTAATCACTCTTGACCACCTTATCACCCCCTTGAACACCTAATCACTGTTTACACCTTATAAACCCCCTTGACCACCAAATAACTCTTGACCATCTTATCACTCTTGACCACCTTATAACTCTGGATCACCTAATCACTCTTGACCACCTTATAACCCCCTTGACCACCTAATCACCCCCTTGACCACCTAATCACCCCGTTGACGATCTAATCACCCCCTTGACCATCTAATCACCCTCTTGACCATCTTATCAGCCCCTTGACCACCTTATCACCCCCTTTACAACGTAATCACTCTTGACCACCTAATCACTCTAGAACATCTAATCACCCTTGACCTCCTTATCACATCAATGACCATCTAATAAATCTTGACCATCTAAACACTCTTGACCACCTTATCACCCCTTGACCATCTAATCACCCTCTTGACGACCTAATCACTTTGACCATCTAATCACTCTTGACCACCAAACCACTCTTGACCACCTTATCTCCCCCTTGACCATCTAATCACTCTTGACCATCTAATAACTCTTGACTAACTTATCACTCTTCACTATATTTTCACCCCTTTCACCATCAAATTACTCTTGAATATCTAATTTATCTTGACCACCGAATCTCCCCCTTGACCATCTAATCACCCCCTTGACCACCTTATCACTCCCCTTGACCACCTTATCACTCACCTTGACCACCTTATCACCCCCTTGACCACCTAATCACCCAGTTGACCATCTAATCACCCCCTTGACCTTTTAATCACTCTTGAACACCTAATTACTTTTGAACACCTAATCACTCTTGAACACCTAATCACTCTTGAACACCTAATCACTTTTGAACACCTAATCACTCTTGAACACCTAATCACTCTTGAACACCTAATTACTTTGGACAATTTAATCACTTTTGACCACGTTATCACACCTTGACCATCTAATCACTTTGGACCATCTAATCACCCCCTTGACCACCTTATCACTCCCCTTGACCGCCTTATCACTCCCCTTGACCACCTTATCACCCTCTTGACCACCTAATCACCCCCTTGACCATTTAATGACTCTTGACCACCTAATCAGTCTGGACCATCCAACCACTCTTGACCACCTAATCACACTTGACAACCTCATCATCCCATTGACCACCTTATCACTCTTGAAAACTTTATCACCCCTTGACCGTCTAATCACTTTTCACCATACAATCACTCTTCACCACCTTATAACTCTGGACTACCTATTCAGTCTTGACCACCTAATCACTCTTGGCCACCTTATCATTCTTGACCACCTTAACACCCCCTTGACCACCTCATCACTCTTAACCATCTAATCACTCTTGACAACATTACCACACCCTTTACCATCTAATCACTCTTGAACCTCGAATCACTCTGAACATCTAATCTGCCTTGATCGTAATCACTCTTGACCATCTAATCACTCTTGACCACCTTATCACTCTTGACTACCGTATCACCCTCTTGACCATCTAATCAGTCTTGACCCTAGAATCACTCTGAACATCTAATCACTCTTGACCGTCTAATCACTCTTGACCACCTACTCACTTTGGACCACCTAATCACTCTTGACCACCTAATGTCCCCCTTGACCATCCAATCACTTTGACCATGTACTCACTCTTGACCACCTAATCACTCTTGACAATCTTATCACCCGCTTGACCATCTAACCACTCTTGACCAACTAATTACTCTGACTACCTAGTCACTCTTCACTATCTTTTCACCCCCTTGACCATCTAATCACTCTTGACCTTCCAATCACGCTTCACCCCCTTATCACCCCCTTGACCATCTAATCACTCTTGACCACCTAATCACTCTTCACTGTCTTATCACCCCTTCACCATCTAATCACTCTTGACCATCTAATCACTCTTGACCAGCGAATCACCCCTTTGACCATCTAATAACTTTTGACCATCTAATCACTCTTGATCACCTAATCAGTCTGGACCATCCAACCACTCTTGAC